GAAAACTCTGCTCTACGTAGCTACACTGTATTAAACAGTACTTGAAACAGCAGTTTGATCTGACCAATTTATTTGTTCTTCATTTTTTTTACCAAGCATGACGACAAACCATATACAGTCAGAAACAATTATGCTCGGATATGATTCGTGAATAGACGCCGCTTAATTAATTATTTGATATTTCCTGCCAACGATTGCTTGTAGCATACTATACACAGTCGATGCTCTAATGAAGGTTAGACAAAACATCGTTCTTGCAATTTTGGCGCTCCAGAAGTGTGTGTACCAGTGCGTGAGATATACCATAAGCCAGTACTATAGCGTGAGGTCTAACGCTGCATTTTCCATCCCAAATGAAAGTACTTTTTTCGGTGTTCCCGAAGTATTATCAGGTTGTGCGCCATCCTGGTGCATATACTTCTGAAGCGCCCTTTTTCCATGCTCATACTTTAGCGATTTATGACATGGGTGTGCCTGAACCTGACGCGGTACATCTCGGACCACACCTGGGTATAGACTTCACCTTATGCTATTTGTACTTGTAAGCTCTGTGTGATTTTATTAAAATCTGTTCGAAAAATGACATCAACTGTTTTTGTTTTAATGCTTGACAATAGGCTTCAAAGGTTTTCTCGTAGTTATTTATTGCCTCCAGCTAATTTCAATCGCGCACTAGATATAATTCTCCGAACTTATACGTAAATTTTATTTAAACTGAAATTAAAAGTATATTTGTAGCTAGTGCGGTGATTTATGTCTCAAAATTTAGCAACAATCTATGCAATCGCGACATTAGACCCTGCTGACGTATACTGATAGTTCTTCACCGACATGGTGTTTTGATTTGAAAGATATTCTTTGGTTTGCGCTGCTTTATGACTCTTAGTCGAGTCAATTCTTGTTTATTCCTGTGTTAGGTTTATCAAAGTTAGCCTGGTAATCTTCGTAGATATGCTGCCGTAATTATTTGAGTAAAAATTTTGGGTTTTCTGTATAAAGACCCGACATTAAAGCAAAAATGTGAGATTTGAGAAAACACCCCGCCTTTTTTCAAATAACAAATTAATAATTATTCAGTTGAGGTTGATAATGATTTCAAATATTTGAATTTTCAGCGCGATAGGCATTCTTAACCCTAACCCAAACTGGTTAACTAACAGTTGGAGTTAAGTGAAATTAATTACCTTTCCTTAAAGGACAACAGGTAGGGCTACAGTCACCATTCTTCTTTTTTTCAATTTTCGTGTATATACCATACCATGGTTACTCCACCTGTCGTGTCTGGAGTCTTTTATTTCCATTAACGAAAGTGACACCGGGAAATCGAGTCGCTTAAATGTATCTCAAAGTCCGGCTTTTGTTAGTATTCTATGTTTGACTTTTTTACTCTATATGATTTAATGTTAGACTCAATCCCCTCACATGTGAACTATCACTGATTTATCGCGTCTCGCTTCACACTGAAATGCATTTATTTGTCTTCCTTCTTACTATATGTACAAGATAAACGGACTGACTATAATCAATACTGCACTGCATGAATTCCTAGTAAGTCTGCTAGCTTTATAATAAAACAATTGAGCTGATGTGATAAAATACATGATATCCACTCTATATAAGCCCAGACAATATGATTGCTTGCGGCATATGCAATTTACTTACCACACGTTCAATTTGATCTATATCTATATATTGCTTATGCTTCTCAAAGTAGCATGAATAGTAGATTGTAATATGTGACAATTACCGTTTGTAATTTGTCTTGTCGCAGGAAGCATATGACTAATTTAAACTGACTGTGCAACGGAAACGCTGTAGTCAAGCAATTCAAACATCAAGCAGTTATTAATGTCTGAATTAATATATATATATATAATAACATGATTGGTTGATTATTTAGGTTTATTCATTTTTTTGGCGCTCCAATATTGAGGAAACTAATTTCGTTCGCCTATTTTACATCAAGTTGTGTAAGAGGACTGAAACCCATGGACAGGGGGGATATTCACTTGGCTAACACAGACTGTACCCAAACACGTAATAAAACTAAAATAAGGAAAATTGGAATAAAATTATGACCTTACCTTAACCTGGTACACGTAGTACGGGAATACTATTTTTTAATCAAAATTTTAAGCATGCAAAGACGAAAATGGGCGATACCTTTTTTAAGGAGGCGAAATACAGTCAGAATATAAAGGCATGTAGTAATTCTTGAAACGAAACCCACTTAGATTTTACATTTATTGTTCTTATTCTTTGTTTGCATTTATGGGCGATACCTTTACGGCGAAATCAAGTCGAAATACAAAAGCATGTAATAATTCTGAATACGAAACGCTTTCATATTTATCAGGCCCTACACACTTAAGACTTTGGGGCCGCATATGTGAAAAGTATTGAAACTAGTTTTCTATATCAGCGGTAGAATCAATATGGTATCTGAAATTGAATAAGTAATTTCCAGTTTTTATTAATTGAGGGCTAAGTAACGATTAATTTGCATAATTTTATTATGAAAACAGTCCTCATCTATTGACAGAAATGTTTAATATAATACTTCATTTCAACCGGACCAATATTGAGGTCTGTGTCGTCTGTCCAACTTGAATTGTTTCGTTGAACACTGAGGTAATATTAAAAAATTGCTTATGGAAATTTCTGTGGTGCCCTCTTTACCTTGGTGTCTTAAAACGTGCTTTTTTTGCTTTATGTCAATTTGCTGTCCCACCATCAAGCCAGAAGTTTTCCTGTCAAAACCTCGATTTTGGCTCGCTGTTTAACTGCCGAAATAGCCCAATAATATTATTATATACAAATCACCTTTGACGAAACAAGACTATGTGTTTTCAAATATACTGACTGAAATAATGTTCAAAGCTTCAAATGTATGACCAAATGTATTCCTTCCATTCTCTCAAAATTTTACTGCTCTAACTTGGAACAACCTGACTCCAAAATTATGCACAGGACTTCGAGACAATCTTATCATATCAAATCTCTTCCTTGTTATTGAATCCTAAAGTTGATACAACGTAATGTATTTGTTTCAGATTCACATATTATGACGAGCTTCCGTAATGCCAAAAAGCATGACTCTTTCGATGTATTGATTAGTTCCTCGCTTGAGGGTGTACGCACGCCATCAAGTGGCGCTAGGACCGAACTTTTTAGTGACTGTTGCAGCGGCCAACGCACGCTTACATCGTAGATTAGAGATATGTGTTTCAAGTCCTAATTTGTCGGCGCTGCTGAAGTATTTTCCCCCCATATGGAGGTGACTTTGTTCCACTATTTTACATAAAGTTGTGTAAAGGGACTGAAACCTATGGGCAGAGGGTTATATTCACTTGACTAAAGCAGACAGTTTCGAACTCGTAATAGAACAAAATAAGGAAAAGCGGAATAAATTTATGGCCTAACCGTAACCTGGAACACATACCAAATAGTCATGTGATGTTATCCACATCGGTTTGTGTGCTTAACAACGCAATAGGACTTAGCTTTATACTTGGTACAATGAATCTCAAATTTTTGAACATTTATTTTTAAAATTAAATACCTTCCATATTCCCATCGCAAAAACAATTAATATGGACGTTTCCCCGGCCCTTAACCCCATATAAATTCTTTCTATACTTCACAATAGCCAATTTTTAGTACCTATTCTGAGAGTATTCTGAAGATTGGCGCCTCCAAACTTGATTATACGTCCAAAGCCATCATCTTTTTTTTTTCATTAAAACATTCAACCACATGCCTGTTACACAGTTACAGGTACTGGCTGGTAGCTAATTTTAGCCTGGTCTATCGCATATTATTCGGAACTAATTTTTGATAATTGCAACCAAACTAAAACTCTTTGGAAGACATAATGACAATTAGGTTATTTGAATTACGACTAATTTTCGGAAACACAATTGGAAACTGACAAATAACATGCAAATCCGCGAAGACAGGTCAGTGTTCGCAGCCATGCTTGAACAACTGTCTGAGCGAAGGATGTGCATGTGCGACTACATGCATTGTCATTGTTACCTCATTGTAGAATTAATGTTGATTGGACAGGGTTACGGAAATAAACAAGGAATTCGATGCTTGGGGAAACATCCTTCCTATTTCAATGATTATTAGGTTCTGGGTTAAGCCAATTTCAGTTACTATTACTGAGGTTGTTTTTCAAAGCAGCGCTCAATAGTGATTATCGAAACGAGATTATCTGTCGGATACCAAAGACTTATCGATCGAAAGTTAGGGGATCCCACAAAACAGCGCTCCCACTCCATAGTGCCACCTTGTGTCCCATCACTAATTAATTAATAACTCGCTAATTATACGACATAATTGATCCAAAATCAATAGACTTCTGGTCCGAGATATGATGAATGCACATGCAAAATCTGGGGCAGATTCAATCTCGTTTTCGTGAGATATCGCGTGCATCTACGGATCTAACAGACAGACAGACAAATACCTATCAACATACTTACTGATTAAGATCGATATGTAATGAGCAATAAATTATATCATTGTTAAAATTCCTCGAACTTATTTAGATTTAGATGAACGAAACTCACAATTACATTTTTACAAGGTAATCCTTGTGTGTTAATGGAATAATAGATCAAATTTTACCTAACTGTTGCTCGTCTCGTCTTCATTTCCTTCATTCCTAAATTAACTCGATTTTTGTGTTCTTCTTGAATAATCGCGTCGCATTATCATATAAAACAACCAACAGAACGCGCGCACATGGCCATAGCTCGTAACACCGCTATATCCAGTCTATATTTAATGAAAATAATGACGATCGAACGTCGTATCAAGGATATTTGGGCACTAAAACCCAGACTTTAGGCTAAATAAGCTAATCAAGATCCAGATACCTAGTCGATGTATCAATGCCTATGTCAGACCTGTGATAATCTTCAGCGTGTTCTATATGACTCTTTTGTCCCTTGTGATCTGCGGGATATCTAACTTGAATTTAAGCACTTTTGTTATATTATGGGTGATAAAATTGTATTGTACAGAGTAAAAGTGCGAGGCACAAAAATAATAATAAAAGTAAAGGAATGCAAAAATATAAAAACATTAAGAGAAGATATAATTATGCGAAACTTTCTTCCTTATGCCCTTTATATTTAAGTGATTTTGTTAATAAATCGTTGAAATAGATACATTTCATAGGTATTATATATACAGTAAAAGATTTTGCCTTGAAATGTATTAATTTCTATATATTAAATAGTGTGAGGGTCGATCAAGCTATTCGCATTTGGCAACAAATTGGTGTCATGAACTTTAATTACGTAACATTGTTGACATCATTGATGACGTATTATGTTGCCTTGTAGCATTTAATATCAGCTTCGGCGTCTGAATCCCAACAACAATTTGCTGCTCTGCATTCATCTTCTGTTCCTGCTATGACGTCACAAACTTGTTTTTCTGCGCCAGGAGGGAAACTGCATTCTTCAGAAACTTCAGGTTGGGTTGAGTGTTCGCCGTCATGGCCTTGGGTCAAATATCCGGTAAATCCAAATGGATTGAGACCGGGGTTCGATGCGGGGAAGGCGAATGGGTTGTTAGGCGGGTATGTGTTAGGTTGTGTTGGAATATTCATCAATGATGGTGACTGTAAGAGTGGATTCATACCGAAAGGCGATGCTGCTGCTCCATTTCCTGCTTGTGCGAGAAGCAATTGTGTCAATAAACCATTGTTTCCGTCGTTGCTATCCTCGTTATTATTGTTAAGAAGAGAAGGAAGCAGCACATTCAGGAGAGGGTTAGGTTGAGTTGCGGATGGAGTATATCCCGTGTTGCCAGTTTGCCCCGGTGTGTATGATTGTCCAGGGTTGCCTAAACCTGGGTTCATCATCATTTGGATTAACATGGGATCAATAGCGCCATCTTCCGATTGTGATCCTTGTTGAGAAAGCAATAATGCAGTAGCGAGAGAAGATCCTCCATTGCTTCCGGCTTGTGGGCTCATTAACATGTTCATCAACATGGGGTCCATTGGTTTGTCTGAATCTTTGTTGTTCAGAAGCATCAAAGACAAGGCTGGGTTGTTTCCTGACATGATAGACGGGTTCATTAACATTTGAAGAGTTGCTTGATCGACATCTCCGCTGGTACTTTGAGCTAATAACAAAGGAGCTAATGACTGCATTGCGTTTGGATCGCCGCCTGACATTGCCATTTGCATTACAAGTGGTGCGATATCAGATTTTGAGTCGTTGCTGTTTTTGTTAGCCAGAAGAAGTGGCATCATCAAAGACATCATATTTGCTCCCTGTTGCTGTCCTGGACTTTGTCCTTGAGATGTTGCTTGAGACATTGCCATTGCCATCATTATTCCCGACATTTTGTTGCCGTCTTCACCGTCTTCAGATCCCATTTGTGACAAAATAAGTGGCATCATTTGGTTTGGATTTTTCATCAATTCTGGGTTTGAAAGAACTTGCATTAACATCATGTTATTTGAATCTGAACCTTCTGATAGGGATAAATAAGGAAGGAGAGCGCTCAGACTTGATGCTGCTGTATTTCCATCGGTTCCTTGTTGTTGTTGTGGTTTTTGCATCAGGAAGAATGGGAGGATATCCTTCAGTGAGCTGCTGCCTTTTCCGTTCATAAGACTTGTTAACATAAGTAGATCTGAAAAAAAAAACAATTCATGTATTACTTAAAAGTTTATATCAAATTTATATTGACGTTGTTTATATAATAATAATCATTATATTTTTGATAAAATATTTGCAGAATTGTCAAATGGTTTTATAATGTAGGTGAAGTTAAATGTCACAAAAACGGGATTGAAGGAAGACATTAACAGTCTGAAGTACTCTTGATTAATCTTTTACTGCTATTTTATGGCATAAAATTATAAAATTTCTTACTCATTGGAGAGACTGGTGCCTGTGTATTTTGTCCTTGTTGATTGGTATTATCTCCTGGACGATAATAGGACGGTGTTTGTGTATTTTGTCCTTGTTGATTGGTGTTATCTCCTGGGCGATAATATTGGTTGTCTTGGCCGGTTGGTAGTGTTTCTCCTGATGACGAATAAAGTGCGGACTGTGACGCCATAGAAGCTTGTGCCGCATTCATGAGAATTGGAATCAAGGCTGCGTTGTTGTCCCCTCCTTCACCCATCATTGACATCATGGTTGACATCAACATGGGGTTGATTCCTGAAAAAGAGAAACTAGTTGATTGCATGTGTTTTAGGGAAATGTATACACAAGCTGTACGAAGTTTAAAAATGAAAAATCGTACTGTTGATAAACTATTACTATTGAATATATTTAGATTTGTAAATGGGTGCGATAAGCTAATTGATTGCATTATAGAGTGGTATAACGTATAAACAGAAGCGATCGTACTATGCAGTTTAGTAGAAAAGTAGATATTCAAAATTAAAGGGCCATTCATAATATTAATTGATTATTATTAATAAAATGTAGTCCTGATTTGTATATGATTATGTGCTATACTTTTAGACCTTGATCAAGTAAAACGCTCAGTTTTGTCTATTACTGTATAGGAAGATATCATAGCCTACTACCAGGCGAAATTATCAAAACTATACTGTAAATTTTGTACAAGCTATGATTACAATTCAAATAAAAACAAACCTGGTGTGCTTCCTTGTTGTCCCTGGCCCATTTGTGTCATAGAGAGAATGAGAGAAAGTGGGAGTGATGATGATTCTCCTGTGTGTTCATCTTCGTCGTTCAAGAGGAAATAAAGTATGGTCGGGTCAATCTGACCTGCTCCCCCGTTCATTTGTGTCAACAATAAGGGTGCAATTTTGCTCATGTCTTTGTTGTTGCCCATGGCCAAGTAAAGGGGAAGAATGCCTAAAAATGAATGATTTATTTAGTTTTTCAGTTTATTTGTGAGTGTTAGCATCAGAATCATTTGCTCAGTATAAGTTGTCATGAGATGGCAAAGTTTCATGGCAGGATTCTATTTATGTTTAATATTACAATATTAGCAAATTTTATATGAATTTCCATATTCACTTATCTAAAGACGAATATAACACTATTAAGCAGTTCATTTCATCTGCAGGAAGCCAATAAATACGCAAATGGGCAATTAAGCAATAAAACTCAAAGTAGTAGAAACTCACTCATTATATCATTTCCTGCTGCTTGTCCTGTTCCTGTTTGTCCTTGAGTTGGTGGTTGGGAAATTCCTTGCATCATTCCCATAATAAGAGGAAGGATAACTTTTGAATCTTCTTCTTTTTCTGTCAATGCCATAGCTAGAGGAAAACCTGGAAAATGAAGAGATTCGTTAGTAGGAAGAAAGGTAATGAAATAAAAAAGTTTGAATATGATTTGTGCCAATATGCTCTTTTACTAATATGTAAAACAAAGGTCACATTTGATCAATTGGCTATTCTGCTATGTTTTTAATACCTCAGTATCCAAATGTGATAAATGAGAATAACATAAAATATTTACACAAAATATCAAGTAGATTTGTGAGCTTTCGTTAGATCATAGTCAAACGTATTTAGAAAAACAAGCTATATATAACGGCTTTATGGAGTTCCAAAGTAGATAACAAGAAAAAGGGTTCAATACAACTCTGCAAATAATATGCACTTGAAGTCTTTCAGTAAACACGTTCAATACAATATTCCTAGTGAAGCAGACAGCATACCAGATGGGCCCTGCAGTTCAATATACCCTAGAACCCTCTGTAAGTCCTGTGTGATTGAATCACATGTAAACTTTTAGGAGACAACAAACTACTTACTCATTCCGCCGCCTCCCATCATTGCTGCCATCATGAGGGAATCTACCGCAGAAGAATCATCGTTATCGCTCTCCATCAACATAGGTAGCAATTGAGTTGGGATTCCACCTTTTGGTGCTTGGATCATTGCCATACGTCCAACTAAAAAGATAATTATTCAGGTAAAAACATGTTCAGAATGCCTTGCCTACATAAAGTCATCCAAAACGTCTTGAATATTTTTAAAATAGTTTACTTCGATTGGCTAGGCATGAGAATAGTTTTCAATGACACTGACTTCCTTAAACTCAAAGATCTGCGTTTTTGCTATACAGACGAATCTAATTGTGAATTAGGAGTAATGTGGCTCAGAAAGATGTTGTGTCAGAAAGAGGTTGTTGTGATAAGCATGCTACGAATAAACGATCTTTGAAATCATATTGGCGATCTGCGATACTACAACAAAGGCATTATATCAAAACAGCCAGACAAGTTTGAGTTTCAAGCTAGTCGTTGTAGTGTACTTACTTTGTTTGATCTGCGAATATTTCAAAGCTTCGAGACAGTTGGTTGATCCTGTACCGTCAGGACCAAGAACTGGGTTCCCAAAAGCAGAATAAAAAGCAGACGCTGAAAGACCATCTCCAACCTTGAACATCTCTCTCAACACTGAAGAAAGGGGAAAAATTTAGGATTGAGTCACTTTCGCTGTGTGGAAAGGTGTACACTGTGATGCCGAATCATACCAAGACCTAACTAAACTGTTTAATTGAATTTCTTACTTTTTATCAATTAGCCTTGACAAATTTATTTGAAAATTGAAATAGGTAGAGAGAACAGAAATATTGGATTAATTGTTTTTCTGTGTGATGCGATTGTGAAACAAAGGGAAGTTTAATTGCTCCAGAGATAATTTTACTTTTTTTGAGGCCTCGCCTTGCTTTGAAGTTATATTCACTTAAAAATTGAAGGGATTCGGATATATATTTTTACTTACATGAATGGTAATCATCAACCCAACAGCATCCTTCAGCAATGCATTCGCTTTTATCTTGAATTGTTTTTGGCGTATGAAGTCCTCCGCATGGTGAATGGAATTTGGCGTATTGTTTCAATTCAGTGGTGTTGAAGCACATTTCATCTGAAAGATATATATTACAAAATTTCTAATCTCAGTGTCTGATACAGCGATTTTGGTGAATAGGCCTATGTATGAATCGTGTATGTGCGCATATCTATTGATTGTCAGATACGAAGATAGTCACAATTAGGTATATGTCCTTGCATATATTATTTGATTTGAAAGTGTCTGAAATTCGAATTAGATTTTGTATTTGATTTCAGTAAGATTGACTGCAAAATATTCTTATATGATTAAGTTCTATGGTGACTGACAATACTTTTCTGGGCACTTTTCGGTCCTGTAGAAAAGATTTTTCTAAAGCCAATATGATGTTAGTTAAATTCTTATAGAGAGCAAGAAACCATAGCTTTATATTTACCGTGAATGTCGTCGCCTGTCAATGTTGGTGTCATGTAGATACGCCCATCGTTTGTCAAGGTGGTTCTGGCACCTTCGTTGTTCGAAGAACTCTGGTAGGTTCCGCGTCTCATGAGATAATTCAGGTAGCTGGACATAGTGGGAACTTTGGTGGCTGGAACAATCTATTATAGAAATGGTTCAATATCAATATGAGTTTATTTATTAAAAAACTTTCGAGGAAACGGAGAACTAATTGTTGATGCAGCGATTTTTAAAAATATTAGGAACAATAAAGTTCAAATTTTGGGTGAATTATTTTGCATGAAACACAACGTAATATATTGTGTATGTAGCAATGTTTTGGGGCTTCAAATTAAGAATGTCTTTCAACAATTATAATGTTTCTCACCTGGTTGCCTCCCATCATTGAAAGAATTGCCATGTTGCAAAGATTTCCCTTCTTTTTGCCGCAGAAAATGAGCATTTGTGCCATAGCTGACATTGGGTTAACTGTCTGTTGGACTGGAGTGTTCTGTAATTCAGAAATATACTTTCGTTACTTTTTGATATTGTACAGAGTATTATTTGCAAAACAATGTCAAGGAGAGTAAAGTTATCAGTTGTCGAGATTGTACCAGATTTGAAGTGTACAGAACCTAATTAATAATGAAGCCATTAAGTAAGTCTTGGGGATTTACTCTAATGTAAAACTATAGTTTTCCTATTCTGGTTTACTTGAAACAAAAAATATACTTACTGTAGAGATTGGATTTCGGTTTTCTTGGATCTGATTAATGTTATTGTATGTGTTGGCGGTATTATCAACTTGCGGTGTGGTATTAGCTCCTCCGAGTACTTTTCCGTAAACGTCGGTAGGTGCTGGATTGACGACAATTGGATTTGGCGGTGTTGCTGCAGTTGGAGTTTGCCTATTGTGAAGAGATTATATTAATTTGAATAGAAGCAATGAATAAGTTGAGAATTTAAGCCTATGGTTATTGTGTTTGAATTCAAAGATAATGATATCTATTTGTTTTTGTCTATTTTTGTTGAAATTAGTTTAGTTAATCAATCGTTTGCTCGTCTATCGATTGGGTAGTAATAAGGGATGTGTATTGCTAAATATAACATGTCCCAAATATGCAAGAAAATCGAGATTTCAACGGCTCGAAAAGAATTGGTCGCAATATGATAGGGAAACATAAAAAATATACTTACGTATTGGCGACTGGTACTTGTAGTGCAGATTTGAAGCATTTGTAGGTATCGATATTGGATGCTGCCCAACAACATCCCTGAGTAGAAAGAAAACAAATTGAGAATTAAATAAAATTGCAGTATTTGGTTTTAAACGTTTTATCAAATTGTCGTTTCTGAAGTAAAATATCCCTAATATTTAAATCTAAAACATATGACCATACGTCAGCGGGAGTGTTTTCTACTGGCTACTATCTTCGTATGCGTCCTTATTTAATGTTTTTAGAATGTTTTATTGCTAGATTTACAGTTCGTGAAAATAACTTTTTTGTTGTTGTTCTTATGCTATTTGTTTTAGTTACATAAGTTTTGTTTGAAATGAATGTAAGTGTGAAAAAAAATATAATCTCACCTTAAATTTGCATTCATTCATTGTCATGTTTTTGCCACCGCATGGCTTGCGGTAGTCGAGTATACCACATTTTGCTGGTGCATCTCGATTTTTGTTTGAAATGTTTTCTGTGATTCCGTAAACGTGGGGAACTCCTTTATGTGGTACTTCAGCTTCCTCAGTTTCCTGCATATCACAGAAGTGTGTTAAAAACTAAATTGACATAGTTTCCCTGGAAGACGTGATTGCTTTGGAAATTTGTTTGAAGTTATATAGGTCTTGATACCAGCAATTAGACACTAGATAAGAGTACACCCCTAGAGTTATATTATAACCTCTCAGAAAATGTAGGCCTATACATGTAGGAGATGTACATCTTGCGAACTCTCTCTATTTCTGCGATTCTCGATAAAGTGTTTTTGTATGCAAAACATTGGGAAAACTTACTGTATTATTAACCACGAGAGCCTGATGCAAATAGTTTATTTACCTCTGTATTGTGGTAACACCATGGTGTGCTGTGATCATTAACAGGTTTCCAACAACAACCTTTCTGTACGCATTCTCTTTCTGTCATTCTAGCGTGACCGCATTCTTTTCTGTCTTCTTTCAAGATCGCGTGACATCTAGTTTGAGTTGCAACCATGACTTCGACGGATTCTTTTCGTTCTTCTGTAAGCAATCATAAATTAATTTGAGAACAAATTAAGATAAAACCAACCACGGAGACGTAAATGTACCACAGAAACTGTAGACTTGCCAATTTACTAAAGTGTCATACTAATCATTATGATGATAGGACCACTCTTCTAAGCTTTTAATTCATTTGAATGAATTAGTTCGAGATCAAACTTGAATTAAAAACAAGTAAAGTGAAATTGTTTGCAAAAACTAAAATCTTTTAAGCCTTAATCTAATACTAATCAAAGCAATATAATTATTTGTTGTTTTATGTAAGACGTCAGCTGAAATGAATTTTTAGTGCTCAATACAAAGGGCTGACCCTCGGGGAAATCATACAATGAAACTTGGTTTTGCTCCAAGGAATATGACTTGACTGGAAGAGTCATGAGTCTTGACAATTGCTAAACCTTACAATTGGAGGTATTTTTGTGCATTTGGAATGTGATATAACTATACTTAAAAGCTATATATACGATCACTGATCAATATCTAGGAATTTTTTTTACTTTTCTTGAAACATCTTGAATACATAGAGTTTTCTGGAAAGGAGTCATCCCAACAGCAATCTGGCATCGATGAGCAATACATGGAATCTTTCATGATGATATGAGCATAATCTTTGAAACCGTCGGGAACTTCGCATGGTACTCTATCTTCAACCAATACGATGCATTCAGGTTGGTCGCAAAGAGAAACTGAAAAAGAAAGAATACGTTATAGTTTGTTTAGCTTTTATTTTAGCTCTTTCCCGTTAGTGAGAAATTCCCTACAAATTTGTTTCAGAATAGATTGAGTGGCGAGCGTGGGAGAGATATGAACTCGAAATTTTACCCTTGGATGTCAACGTAAATAAGACCAGTTCATTAACCACTTATCGATCGCGCCACTTCGATATCGTTACTCGTTTATTACAACGAATTATAAAAGTCGATTTCTTTTCCGAAGAAATGAGTGTTTGGACAGTGTTATAAACATACACTGCAATACTTTAATATCTAAGATTAAAACTTACTGTCTTTGTGATAACACTTGATAACATCATCGTCTTCAGCTTTATCATCATAACAGCATCCAGACTCGAGACATGAATCTTTAGTCACATCGAATCCACCACATCTAAAAGTGAAAAGATTGTGTGTCATTTTTCTTGTTTGATTTGATATCAAATTCATAGGTAATTCTGCAGGTTTGGGTTTGGTACATATTTTTAAAAGATGCTAAGAATACATATATTTCTCATTTATACGTGGGATTTATACATAATGATAGTTTTTATTTAGTTTGGTTCATTTTGGGCATATTTTGTCACTATTATCTGAATGCTTAGTGGAAAAACCTTTATTTATGAAAGATGCAGTCAAACTTACTCATGGCGTCTTTCCGCTTCTATATCGCACTGTGTGGCACAGGAAGTTCTCAACGTTGGTACATCAATCTGTGGTTCTTTATTTGTCGTTTCTTCATTTTCTGCGGCTCTTGGAATTGCCCCGGCATATGCAGCAGCAATAAAGCTGGCCAATACAACCAGTAAATATAACTTTATATTCATAACGCTGATTTAGGTTTCCTGCTTCGATAAGTTTTATTTTATTTATCTAAAACAAGAGTTAGAAATTGAAATCAACCTTTTTTTTGATATGCCCTGGAATAATCTTTACTTTTGAGCTTTTTTAAGTTCAGAGTTGACAAACCTGTAACTGGTATGACCTGAATTTTTGAACTAATATTGAAACGATTTCGTATGTACTACAACTGATCATACTAAATATAATCAACGCTTTATTCACTTTTTAAATAGTTGACAAATCACCTTTTTTCTCTCTCACCTATTACTAACATTGATTGAACTGCTCAATTCGGGCTGTAACGTTCAAATAATATGTCAAGTCAATTAGGTTTAGAAAGTTGTTTTCTTAGTACAAGATTTCTAATTCATTGAGCTCAAAATTAATCCGTTACATCAATTAGGAATAGAATGTCTCGTTATATTAAACACATCAACTATGATTTCTAAATTTTGATTTTGATATAAAGATTACAACTAGATCGAAAAATATGATGCAATCGGTATAAACATGTACAAACAAACATTCTAATTGAACATCTCTGATTTGAGCTGAGATGAATTTTTCAAATAAATGAAATTTAATATTTTAAAACAAATATAACAACCGCAGATATGAAACCAATGCATCAGTAAATCCGTGCATATACAGTATATATATATTGTTTAAAATTAGGACTACGTTGACATACCTACAGGACCCACGTTTTTGAAGTTATCTAATCGAAAAGTTTTCGCAGTATACTTATCAATCAGAAAGTTTCAAGAACTATCATTTCAAAATAAACCAAATTGAAGAGCTCTATTAACATAACTCAAAATTCAGGATCTATAGATTTCATAGTTACTATACTAGATACATATCATCTTGAGTCATTGAAAAGATTCAGCTAGCTGGTCTAAATTATTACAAATTCTACATTTCAATTTCAAACGGAGACATATTTACAATATTTTCAACGTCAAAACCCGATAAAAATAAGGGTAAAACGTATTCCATTAGAGTAGCTATACAAATTAGTTTTAGAACCAAAATCCATATTAAAAGTTCGAACATACTTTATCATAGAGTTTATATTTTCTACTACTTTATCTACTTTAGCAATATTATTACTTTCCTGTACTTCCAGATATCTTTATCCTTGTAGTTCTTCCAATAGAACTGAATTTGATATGATATCTGGAGAGAAACACGCTATATTTATATCAATAATTTTTTCATATAAAACGAAACACGTAATTGCTATAAATTTGTGCCGTGGGATGTTCATTGTTACTCATAAAGAGAGTAATTACTGGCGCGAAATCGGGATTCTAATTTCGCGCCTTTTTTACGTCGCATCGCCCAAATTCGATATTAGAAAGACGACTCGTAAGTTCGTTGCATAAGATTGTGAAAAGCTATTATTGTTCTTGAGGAAAGGATTATTATGTCATAATATTAAACGATTATGCGATGCACCGTTACTAATCTAAAATAAGAATTTTTATATGATTTGATGTCACGTCATTTTAATCGAAAATCGTCCAGGTCAACATGACATGCAATGAATTCAAAACAATAAACTTATACATTGAACACGATTTTGTCATAAAATGGATAATAAAATATAACTTATTCATAAAATGAAACACATACTAAACAACGAAATATGCGTAAATACTGTAATTAGATAATTTGAAATGGTACATGTACGAATTTGGGTTGGATATAGGGTGATCATAAAGTCTTGAATTTTTTAAATTGCAAAGGGAATTGGTCGATACCATATATTGTTTTTACCCTCACACATGTATGTATTAAATGAAGTGAAAATACTTAAACAATTACTGATTAAAAAAACAACAAATCTGGTTAAGATATATTGAGAACCGACTTTATAACAAAATTAAAAGGGACTTCATGGACACCCTGTACTTTGGGCTGAACGGAAAACTCGTCCGAAAGCAATTTTGATCAATTAATATCATCAATAGGTCACTAAGATTGTACTTGTGTATGTTTACTTGTCACATAATGATCATATATATCAGTTGTTCCAACCTTTTAAGGCTCGTGATCCCCTCCCGGAGACTTTTAGCACTCATGGCCCCTGTTTATAATTCCAGTTTTTTTTTTTAAATTTTACTTTGATTGATAGATTCCAAATCTATTATGTCTAAATTTATGCTCAAAAAATTGAAACACTATGTGAAATAACTGGTTTCATTACATTTGAACCCACGTACATTTGAACCCATGACAATTGCACCTGTATGCTATTGCACCTATGGAATATTTTTTGTTTCACGGATAGTTAAACCCATACTAACCCTAACCCATGGGTTTTAGCACCCGCATATAGATTGAACCCGTGGATATACGCATGGGTTCAAATGTACATGGGTTCAAATGTACGGTCACCGAAATAACTATATCAAGGAATGAAACTAGTTGGAAAAGGGAGTTTTATTGTAAAGAGAAATGCAAAATCAGTTTTGCGTCTAGCTAGATACGGCGACAATATAAATGATAGACACTGGATGCATACGCGCAAAACCATAATGGCCTAAAACACAAATCAGCGCCAAGTACTCTTCAAGTATTTCCTCTTACAAGTTTTTTTTTTTAAATCTTCTATCAAATCAAATTTACATAGGTTATCGAAATGTTTTATTGAACAAAATTTGGAACACATACGTTGATCGGGAATCATTCCACAGCACAACAAAAAGTCACATTGCCTTCAAGTATTGAAGATAGTTCCAAAGAACTTTAACACCGAATAAAAATACATAATTCGTCCATTTTTTGAGAGGGGGGAGGGACAATTTTTGTTTTTGTGTAATGATGTAATGCGACGCTTACTCGTACCTTTTGCTCCGCACGAGGATAGCTTACTCCGCTGTAGAAGTTATCCAAGATGTACAAGCGCAAATTTTCATCTATCTCGGTTGGTTCATTTGGTGCAAGGATTATTGATAGCAAGCCATGAAAAATCAGATTTCAATAAATCATATAAAGAATAAAGAATAGAGTAAAGTGATGTTGGAAAATGCGTCAAAATTTATGTCTTACTGCAAATTCGCACCCTTGGGTACGCCTATGTCTATACACCCAATGATCATCATACCTCAGCAGCGGGATGTACGTATATACCGTCTCTGTTCAAATGTTAACTGATTACGCATATGCTGTTATATTTTGAGGAAATGAACATACAAAATGAGATCTTTTTCCTGAAACGTAAAACAACCGAGGAATTTTGTAGGGTGAGATTAATCTGTTTAATTCCATAATCACAGTTTTTATATTTTATCATGTATGTAATATAAATTGGAGTCCAAAAAATGTTTAAAACCGATTTTATAGTGATACCTATTGAAAAATTCTTTTTCATAGTGTATTAATAGTTCTCTTTGTGCTTTTAGTTCTCATTTATCATACAATACAATTTATTACTATAAAATTGGGCGAAACTTTTTGGACGTCAAATCTCTATATATATATCTATTATGTTGATCATCTCTTTAACTTACGACAAAAGCGCATTAAAGGCTAGAACAGGCACAAAGTTTGCTTTACAAAAGGGCAAGTTAGAGGTATTCCGCTAGAGCTAGACGGGTGAATATATATTGTATGGTAAAAGCCGGTTGACTTTGATAAGACTAATAAAATCCATATTCTTGTGAAAACAGCTCTTTAGAAGTTGTGACGACATTTTGTTTTAATCTGTTTCATATAAATGTTAATCTATTTAAATTTTTCGTCATTTGAAATATATTTGACGGTACGCCGTCACACGTTTTCTATTTGATCTCTCTTTCAAATCAGCCGAGATACAGTACACTGCGATAGTCAGGCTTGTCCATGGGCATGTAAAACGTCTCATAGGATGCATACATTTGTTATTTATGAGACAAGTGGACTTATGGAACAGTTAAGCCAATATGGGTCAATATTATATAGTGTTACGTTGTGTGCGTCATTAAAATTAACTCTGTCCCTAGCCGCGCGGCTTAAACATAATAACGAGGTAACACGTATACACAGCGTGTATACTCAGTCAGTTAAAATGCGTTGCACGGATAGGTAAGCGATAGGTGATAATAGACAATAAGTTTATTTCGGCATGCAAGAAATCATAACACAAATTCAAAGCCCGAATTATTATACATTACAGTAACGCATTTCATCGCGATTAAAAAAAACAGAAAACGATCATTATAAGTCTGCGACACCAAGATTTAAAATGAGTCAAAAATTGAAATAAAATAAGCAAAAAACACAAAAGGAAACTTAGTCATTCAAGAATTCTACCAACAAGGTAGGGATTAACATAAATCTCCATATATAATTTGAGAAATAAATAAAACTAAAAGTCGGGGGAATAAAGATAGAAATAATATTACATTTTAAAGCGCGAGTACAATTCTAGTTCTTGAATTCGGACGAAACTTGGTATGTACGTCTGGGATAATGCTTACATAACACAGAACCAATTTTCATTTCGATCGGGTCAGAGAAAGAAGGTTACCTGCTCTTGCTATTAACTCTGTATAAATCAGATTTGCAACGTGTAAGAAATGGTTCAGAAATTCTACAGATTAACAGAATTATTAGAAACAGTCGTTTTACACGTCACTTTATTTATGTAGTGATATTTAATATGCACGTAACCTAAATTTAGTATTTTTTTTTATTAAATTGCATGGGACGGGACAGGCATAAATACTTATAGGATGGGCAAGAAAAATATGTCGGGAAAGCCTAGTAATCGAACAGTATATTCAAGCATTTCTCACTTGTTATATATCCTAATACTTAAAAACCTCCAAAATATAAATCATGTGGAATTAATTTGTAATTTGCACAATTGAAAAGAGGGCGATAATCCAGAAAAGAAATCAATGTTGTTATATATAGCAAAAAGTGTAATTCGCTTAAATTGAGAGCTAATTATGCGGAAAGGTAAAAATAATTATTCATTTTACTATACTAATGTTTAGAAACGTCTTCATCAAGTTCGTACTGTTGTACACGAGGAAAGATGAAACATATGTACATTGGCACCCTCGAACATTTGTACAAGTTAGCTTTCGCCACCACATGCATATTCAGCTACCTCCATTCCTATCTAAAGTGGTGGAAAATGTTCTTGATGCAAATATCTTCAGTGTAATAGTCCATTAGTGCGAATGCCCTTGGGTGCAATTCGTATGTGGGATTATACGGTGCAAATATAAGGATGAATAACAGACATAGATAATTGAGAAAGTTTCTGATACCAATTACAAAGTTCTTTACATCACACAATTCCTAATCCAATCCGAATAGACGACGAAAAAATCTGTTTATTCTTTTCCAAATCGACTCGTTTGGGGGAACTTCAGTGCTTATTATGATTCCAATATCTATATTTTTCGCATTTATTTTAATCATTTTTTTCAACGATTCGTCAAATCTTTGTTGTATAATTGATTCAAACTCTTCTACGATGTGCGATCCCAGAAAAAAATGCGTTGCTCTTGAAGCCAAGTTATTCAAGAAAATGCTCTTCAAGTTTTTGTAATGTGATTCCAATTCATCCATATTAAAATACCGATCGTTCATAACCTGGAATGTCGGTAAAAATATTTTAAGATAATTCGTACCATAATATTTTAAGATAATTCGCCTTGTACGAGTGAAAAAGTAAATGCAACACGTAAAGGTATCAGTTCATAAGAGTAATTAATGTGTCTGTTCTCATCCATCAGAATAAGTAAAACATTAAGTTTGTTTGAAATTAAATTAACCGATGTGTTTAAACGATTGGTCGAATGTGAGTAACTATACGTATTTGTATTTTCTTTTCCCGGCCCATGCATTTTCAAATTTATTTTGAATGACTTCTTTAAAGATGTTTCCAGATACCACTTGGATCTACGTGTAATTTACCTTTTGCAGTCTTTCTTCTTCTGCAATTATTTCTTGATCAATCAAACATGTCAGCGTTGCTGTCATGTTTTCCTGAATTTAAAATATATATATTGTTTAGTTTAGAACAGCGTTTCCCAAACTTTTTGGGGCGTGGACCTCTGTTGAGGAATTTTTTTTGGGCGCACCCATATCCCATACCGTATCAATTTCTGTCCTTAACAAAGAGGAAGGATGATGTTTTAGTTACAACACAAACGATATTAATGTGATGGACGAGGTTGCGCTTCACTGCACGATTTATCAATTGTAGGAGCGTTAACTGACATCAATGGATATTCTATCAATATCTTTGTGTACCCCCTGTGCAGTCAGCGTGGACCCCAGTTTGGGAAACCCTGGTTTAGAAGATAGTTGAGGTAATATATTCTCGAAGCAGAATCGTAATTTTTAAAGAACCACTGACGTAAAGTAAGCTATATTGTAAAATTATTTTATTAATTTCCATACCCACCTTAGTTACGTTGTTTTGTATATACGCTTTTTCTTCTCTTATTTTGATTAAATCAATCAAATTTTCAAAATATTCCAGTAGAGCCTCGGAGCAGCCCTTGTAATATTCTTTCAGTTTATCGCGATGATCACTTTCCATATTAATTCGCATCTGTTGCGGTGTAATTCTTTTATTCTGGCGAAAAAATAACACAGTGAGAATTAAGAGTTGGTGAACGTTTAGTACTTTAGTTCTTTACCATATAATATACCAACGAACTTTATATACTACCCATATTTGGTCACGGCAACGTTAAAGGATATTATTTAGATGGCACACACCAACGCAAAAGTAAATAATAATTAAAGATGTTTCGGCCATTACGATATCCGTATCATCTAAAAATGGACCAATATTTCCGATATGTCCAAATCTCTAATCCGATATAGAATGTTTTGAATTATTGGTTATTATGCTGGCAACTGAAATTATTATTCTTTTTTTGAGGAGAGAGGCATTTACAGCCTCCCTTAATTTATGCACCGTTGATACATATCGTTTAATGAGTGATTGCTGCTCTCAAGTGTACCGATCGGACAATCCACTGCATATGTCTGCATCATCCTCGCGAAATGGTTAGTTAATGTGTTGAACATTATTGTGTTTCAATTTAAGTTATTGTCAAATACACCCACAAGTGTACTTTTATAGGTCCCGATTTTTAAAACTACACGTACACGTAAAATTACACGTAGCCCTGAAATGGCGTTGGAAAAACGCACAAATGTACTGTGGATTTGTGCATCTGATTCACAAATTATAATTTTTTATGTTCTGCGATATTCTGTACTTCAAATTGCTTAATGTTCACTGAAAATATTTTATTTATCACATTCACCCAGTACAATAGAAAACGTTATATATAATATTGTAATATCGGTAAATGTCTAATTATTTTACGAGAATTGTAAAGCAAATTATCTACATGCATGGTGAGTTTTTGAAGCAGTCCAAACAGATCCTGCCCTTTTTCGCATAGGATAGAATTTTTGGTACTCCCGAAGTATGTAAACATATAATAGGTCATGATTTTATTTCAATTCACCTCATTTTAGTTCTATTACGAGTTCGGGGACTAGGCAAGTAACTCCAGCAGTATTTGTACCTAAAATTATGGCCTAACCCTAACCTGGTACACATCCTACGTTCCGGTTTCCGCCATCTTGGTTCACATACTTCGGGAGTACCCAATTTTCATATTCATCTCGGGACAAACGAAATTCGATAACGCGGCACATGGATGAATATTTGTTTCAGATACATGGACTTGGTTATGGATGACGCCAGTGGTTAGTACCATACCATAGCGTACCAGCATTATTCTCGCACGGACTCGGATGGGAGTATCCGCGCAGCAGAGGGAACACTTTAAGGTTAGGTTAATAGTGGAACTTTTTACTTTCTTGTATATATCGATATATAGACCGCGAGACAAGAACGTTTATCTTTCAGTTTTGTAGCGCACATAGGGGAACTACTTACTCCCATTTCCAAAAGTTGCACGTTTTAAGAAAAATACGCTTGACTACAAGAAATATGTGCAACCATCTGTTCTATATTCTCTGTTCACTGATATTTGGGGAATCCCCTATATCCAGTTTTTGCATCAGGATTTTTGAAGCATGTTTCACAGAAACAAGCTGTAGTGCGTTCAGTATGTTCATTTTCATACATATATATAGAATTTATTTAGTTAACACATGTGCGCTACGAAACTCATTTTTTTTGGGTGTTTTACAGAGACTCGTCTCACGACCTATTAGAAAATGGCAACAGCATATTGCAGCGTGTGTTCAGACTGTCAGACAATTGTTCAATTAGACGGGGAGTATACGGAAATTCTCACCAGATTTTCCTGCAGTTCCTCCGCATATTTACAAATGATTTTCTCGACTAAGTCATAGCAGAAGTGCTCTTCTTCTGGTATGTCTTTCTGAATAACAATGAATAAACGATTCGTGACTAAACATTGTTATCAAAACAATCACGAACAAAATATGAATGTACACGGAAAAATTTCTGATAAAACATGATAGACCTTATTTTGATGCCAAATTAAACTTTTTCATTTTTGTTGTACCAGATTATAGAAAAAACGTTGCCTCGAGAAATCTTATGAGCAATAATACCTTTTCGTTTTCATTTTTGAACAGACGGCGAGAAATTTGATCTTTCATAGATAATTTTGCAGACGCGATCTGAAAAAGTTGATTGCAGTTAGATTGGTCAAATACAGCAGCGCAAACTGAGAAAATATCAACATTCAACATATTTATTTGCTTTGTAAAGCAGTCTTGCCTTTTCACACGTTTCCAGTGCCTTTTTGTATTCTACTTCTAGCTCGTGTTTCAGTTTATCGCTGTATTTCATTTCGATTTTTGTCAAAGCTTTTCTACGATATTCGTTTTCAATTTTTTTCTTTATCTCTTGATGGTGTTTCAGAAAATTTGCAGCAGTTTGATATGATTTCAATTTCTAAATATGAATATTCAAAAATCAGGGGTAATTTACCTGAACCATATTGTATTGAAAATCTGGAACTACTTTTAAATGCTTCAATAATACCGTAGTTCAAGAGTGGTACAAACTGCGGGCCGCACATTCCGTGCGGCCCTCAGAACAGTTTTGAGTTATTTTTAAACTATTCCAACTGGGAATAGACCTTTTCATTATCCCGATGTTGAGATTGATGTTTGTTAAAATTGCGGAATTTCAGTGTTGTGTCTATAAACGTGAGGACGGTGTCAATGTGGGAATGACGTCCTGTAATCGGTACAAAGAGAATGAATTGTCTTGTGCAGACAGGACCAAGCCGATTCGATGAGTCGCGCTTTTTATCTAAACTTTGTACCATAAGCTAGCGCCAAGTAACTCCACATTTGGAGAGACGTTTTGTGCCTTTATTTTAGTAAAAACGTTCATTTATTTTCAAGCGTTGGCCATGCGACAGCAGTGACGAACCGCAGAGCTAGCTGACTTAGCGCCTCTCGATCCAGTTTTTTTTTAGCTGGGTCCGGAGTCCCAACTTGGTTGTTCTTTGACGATAACACCAAGCTTTATTACGCTGAGTAATAAAATTAGTCAAATTTAACAATTCATCATATAGTGAGTATAAAAAATGTGACTGAGGTAAACTGGGAAGAAACGTATATTTTCTTACCCACACCAACGTTAAACCACAGTGTCTGGTGTGTTTTCAAGTAAAACTTGTCACGGAAGAATATATACGGTTTTAAGGACACATTAATGATGTTTTTGGCATTTTTGGTTGGTGAAATATTAAAAAAATTATGAAGGAGTGTCAAAATGACCCAGGTCAAACACCCGAGGTCATTAGGTTAAAGTGAACGCTCGATGCTTTGATCTCTCTTGGGTTTTCTCCGATTGTGGCCCGCGGGACAGCCTTAAAATTTTTTGCGCAACCTCGGATCACACTGCCGTAGTTATTTAATGAGGTACGTACCTTTCCCCATTCTTTGGCGCATTCGAAGCCCAATTTTTCCACTAACCAACGAAGATCGGATTTCCTTTTATCCTGGAAAAATGAAGTCGTATGCATAGGTTTGGGATCTACGTCTATTTAATTGAAGAAAACTCATTTTACTCCAGGTTCTCGATCTTAATATTCATTCTAACTTGAGCATTGATTACTGTGGTGGGACAGCCGTAATTAAAAGTTGAATGGATATTAAAATTTACCTCGCGTAGGAGTTTCTTTATCTCATTTCTTTGTATGTTTTCAAGACGAGTTTTCATCCCACAGTCGTTAACTTCAATTCGTAATTCTTCCTCGTTCACATCTTTCTCATATTTATTGCGAATTTTTTCCAATATTCGCGTGTGATGTTTTAATAGTCGTATAGGTGCCTTAGGTGGCACGCTGTCGTTTGCTAGAAACTAAAATTTAATTTTTTGTAAATTTATTTGAACCACTTGGCTTTGATCCACGTGTTCGCCACCACCGATAAGATGGATATATGTTGTTATTCTGGTTAATTTTCGTCTTCATTATGATAAAAATCGCTTCTCTCTTCGAATACTGGACCAATTGCTTTGAAATTTTCAGTGGTTGAAGATTGATTTTTTTTGCCAGAAGGCTATTACTTTTATTTATTCCTAAATTTTCTATGAATCTTATGAGATCTAATATTTCATCCAAACTTGCGCTGTATTGATTTTTAATTATGGTTTTTAAACACGGTTTCTAATCCGCCAAGCGTGACGGATGATTTTGAAAATTCTTGCGACTGGAAACTTGGAAGTTTTTGAGGTTACGGTACCGGTAACCTCAAAGGTAAGGACTGCTGCGCTCTGGTCCACGTGTCCATATATTTGAGCATTGCTCTCTTGTTTTTGAAAAACATCTTCGAATAAAAATGGAAAATATATCTCTAAAGTGATGGCACTAAATACGTACCAATTGCATTTCTTTCTCATACTCTAAAATCGCCTCTCTTGTTTTTCTTTCTTTCCTTCGATTAAATGCTCGCTGGTGTTAAAATAAAAAGTAGTAAGTAAGCAATTCTGATGGTAAGATAGTCGAGAAAGGACTCGATAAGGGTCGCGGTCAAATCTATTTCCTCACCAATTTATGTTAAAACAAAATATCGATCAGATTTGGAACCAGTACTGAGACCCACCATCACCGAAATAGAGCCGAGATTCGTCTTTTCGTGCAAAAATATGCAAGCACACTGGTCTTCTTAAATGTAATTTTGTTTCAATAATTTCCGTATTATTGAATTTTATTTTAGTCCCGGTGAGGTCGCGAAAAAATTTAGCCGTGTCAAGTGGGTCGTGATGAAAATAGTTTGAAGAACACGCCATATCCTAATTTAATTGTCGTAAATTTTACCTGAGATTGTTATTAGATATTGATATACCCCAATTAAGCCCTAAGTTTTATTTATGGAATGAAATAAAACACAACTATTTTATGTTTCCTCAAATAATATTGTTTTACCTTCAACACATTGTTCTTGCGCATTGTAGTATCAAAGTGTTCATCGCATGTTTTACCAAGATGGACATAATAATGCTTTCGAAATTTTTCGTCGCCCATTCGTTTTGTTCGCTCAAACTTTTCCAGGGCATGTTTCTTCGCATCTTCGTGGTATTTTTTCAATTCCTCGACGTCCATGTGATTTTCGGCGGGAAAATGCTTCTATATACAAGACGAGGTGTCTTTAATGTCACAGCTTTCGTGTCAAATAAGTAAAAATGTTGATCGATGACTAATAACATTGGGTTAAACTTTTTTTTTTGTGTGCTGTTCGCTGCTTGGCAGTAATACAAATTTAGGTACTCATGAAATATGCGTACCAAGAAGGCGGACATCGGAATGTAGTATGTGTACCAGGTTAGGCCATTATTTTATTCCAATTTTCCTTATTTAGTTCTATTACGAGTTCGGGGACTAGCCAATTGACTCCCGTAGTATTTGTACCTGCAATTATGGCCTAACCCCAACCTGGTACACATACTACGTTCCGGTGCCCGCCATCTTGGTACGCATACTTCAGGAGTACCCAAATTTCTGCGTCAGCATCATGAATAAAATGTTTTTTTGTTATGCCCAATGAAGAAGATTATGTGTTTGGTTTTATTGAATATTTAGGCATGAATGTGTATACAAAATTGCGGTATGATCCAGATTTAGACAGGATTTAGATTGAAATGAAAAATCATGTGTTTATAGATTTGTTAGCTCTGAAACTACACAAAGATAAATCATTTACTGTTTTGAGACTTCGATTTGATTTGTCATGTTATTTTCTGAGTTGAGGCTTTTCTAAGAAACAAAGTGATAATTCCGCACAGCGGCGCCCGAGATTTAAAATTATTTTAGCTCTTCCAACGCTTCCAGGAATTCCGTCGCAAAATTGATTGAATCTATTTTTTTTTGTATAACTAATAGGACTTTCTTAAAAACCAAGATAAAAATTGAATGAAAAATGCGCCTAAACAGTAGAATATTTGGCAACTGCTATTGTGTGGGCGGGTCTCCAATGTTACTGTTACTTTTTTGCAGTAGAAGTTTTTAGAATTACAGTCCCCGTCATTCTATCGTTTAACTCAGTGGTTCTCAACCTTTTACTAACCGCGTAGCACTTTACTGTTTTTTACTCTGGCCGCGTACCACGAAAAAAGCCCCCTTTTTGGCGCGGGGAACAATGGCACAAGACACGCGCTATGGGAGTATTTTATAATGTGGCACTACATCCTTAGTGACCTAATTCGCAAGGCGAACGAAAACATGACCATCTCGATTCCTTCGTGGACAATAGCAGGCGAGGGCGATCTCTAAAGACTGGACTGGCCGATAAGACGTTTCTCCGACCCTTGACCCCAGAGAAATTCTTCCTATACCTTACTATTGCAAAATATTTTATACTTATTTCAAGACTGTTTTGATGTGTTGGCGCTTATAAGCTGGTTTACGTGTTTGAAAACCCTCATTTTTATTAAAATAAATCAACAATTACTGATTATTGCTGGATACGGAAGTAAACAAGGAAATTGATGCCCGGGCAAACATTCATAAAGGCCGTTCAGCGAATACATACAGTATGAAAGATAAAGCGTTGTCGGCATATTTTGGCCAACTCAAAAGTTAATTGTTGCAATAAGTTAAAGCTGCTCGCGTTCCACTTGATCACCTTCCGCGTACCACTAGTGGTACGCGTACCACAGATTGAGAACCACTGGTTTACCTAATATATTTATTCTCACGATCTCATTCAGGCTATAATAAATTCATCGCATCACAGTACTGAATTCTATTCATAAACAGGCATGGAGCAAGGAAAAGGCAGTTGAGTTATTTACTCGTAACCCCTACTGATAGTCTATGTAATAAAACTAGCATTTCCTGCTCATCTCACAATTCCAGAACCGTTTACAGATTACTCAAATGCGTTTGATTAGTTCGTATTGCAAAGCACAAAATTATTCAGAAAACAAATCATGAAAATTAACTACTATGGATTTAAAACAGATAATAAAACAATGCTATATTTTATTGGAAATTGTGCAGTGCTTGTATATCGCGTGAATTCAAATTTCATATGAGTGAATTTTAAAGTAATGATTTCAATTTTGGTATACATGGATGATCGATACCCAAACACGTGAAGTTACGATTATAATCTTAACGATAATCAAAAAATAAGTCTGATAAGAGTACCAAAAAATCAAAAATATAGAACATTTGAAAAAATGCCTATATATTAATTAACAACTTAACTCAACTTATAATATTAAAAACTATCACGTTCAATGTACAAACGGCCACTGAGTGATATTTCCATTTTTCATAAAATGATCTACATTTACGAATCATGATTTAACTTAAAATAGGCAACATTAAAATCGTAAAATATCATCAGTGATTTCTATCACAGAAAACATTGTAGCAGATAAAATATTGAATCAGAAGCTTTGAAAACCTGTTTCTCATCATTAATAGACAAGAAAGCGATGCTTGGCACGAAAATCAAAACGAAGTGGGATGGGTATAACATTTTTCACAGTAAACCTCCGGTACCTTAACGCAGCTGACCACCGGATATAATCTCACGCGAAGCGAAACTGCCACAAGGTGACACATTTTGATGACGCCATATCACACAAAAAAGCGCGTTCAATACAGGAATGTTTGAAACAAATGAAAGTAATAGCCTTTTAGCAAAAAATGAAAATTTCAAAGCAATTGGTCCAGTAGTTAATAAATCGTATTTAAGTAACCAGATTTGGTGGTGCGGTAAGATTACTAATTAATTACTACTACTGATTACAACTTTTTATTATTAAAAGAAGGCTTTTACGTTTATTTATTTCTAAAATCTCTGTGGGTTCTGAGGGATTCGTTTTGCTATTTTGTCTCCTGTGGCAGATTGGATACCCATACTACTAAGTTTTGGCCTTCTTGTTCGTCCTTGGAAATCGGGAAAAACAATATGGAAAAGGATGAAAGAGAAAAGTGATTTTTTCATAAGAAGAAGAATACTAACAACAATAACATAATATCAAAACGATCCATAGGTCCACTTCTTGTACAATAACCGCTTAATATCAAGTCAAAATTAATTAAATTATTGGCGAAACTAATATGCACAAGTTACCAGCTGTGAAATTTCTGTTTCAGTCGTGATCATGCGCTAAAAAGACTCGCGAATTTTTCCTTTATTCTTGCCCACAACGATTTTTTTACCTCCGGCACTTTATCGGTATTAGGGATCCTATTTTTTTCATACTTTTCATTCGATTTTTTCATTTTCTCATACGACTCTTTCAGCTTCATCACGGCGACTTTATTGAACTCTTCCAAGAAGTATGAAGGCATAAGAAACCTCACTCTTCGTGAAGACATATCGTCATTAACATTTTTATGGATTCGGGCGTAGTGTTCTGCAAGCTCTGTGCTGTCGATGTATCGATCTATCATTATCTGAATAAAAATATAATAATATTCGAGATATATTTTCGGAAAATCCTAATTAGACGCAGTGCAATATTCCATATAAATCGATGGAGTGTTAGAATCAGGTAAGATGTTATGTCGCATGTTCACTAAACGACGTAGGTACTTCTATTTGGCATGTCACAACCATTTTTGCATATGTTATTCCTAACAATCACCTGGATCCGTCATCCAAAGATTACGTCACCACGATCTCACAATAAATGGCATGTTCGCCAACGAAAACGAACTCACTAACGCCAACGATCTCTCTCATATCATATCGGGATCGTTACGAGAAAACGAGAGAAATAGCTTGCTCGATTTCGGGTAATCGTCTGCGAGTCATGGATGACAGTTAGTTCGGAGGGCCCTATTACGTTGCAGTGACGTAATTTTGGAATGACATGGTCAGGCTTCTCGTGCAAAAATGTATGTGCCACGCCAGCTAGAAGAACTTACGTCGTGTTGTGAATATGATACCATATTAAATTACTCAATTGATATGCAGTTTTATGATGCGTCATTGAACAAAAGTTTTTGGAATATTCATTCATGTTTTTTGGAATATTATTGAAATGACTTTGTCATCAAGTGTCTATGACAGGGGTGGGCAAGGTTTTCGGACCAGGGGCCTTACTGGCTGCCCATGTAAGCATGATTAAAGTTACATTTCATGAACAATATTTACAAAAGCAAGAGTGGAAAACGATAATCATTATGCCAAAACTCAATTTGATCGCAATCGCAGCAAATTCCATGAACTATTTTTTACTAAAAAAACAGCAAAATTTGGTTTTAGTATGGTGCGCGCTGGTGACAGCATCAGGCGGGCCAGATTGGATTACCCAACGGGCCGGATTTGACCCGCGGGACGTAGTTTGCCCGTGTCTGGTCTATGACCTTTATCTAAGGAAGTTTTAACAAGAAGTAGTTTTAAAATTAGTATACTAAGGTCAAAGGTAAAATGGAAAACAAGATGAGTTGTGTATGCGATCGTAGTATGTAACCATGGCCGGCCATAGCAGTTGAAATCTTTTGTCCCAACCTTTTATAGGTTGAAACTACATTACGAATTTTGAGAAAACAAAGGATTCAGTTAGAAGGACAAAACTGAATTACTGAGTTTTGTGGACCCATGGCCGAGAATCAGAATCGTATTAGACGAAATGTTGTTATGTAAATGTAAAATTTGATTTAACATTTTTTTTCTGTTGCTCGAAAAGTGGTGGATTCTTAATATTAGATTTTAATGGGCCGCTTTTACGATAAGTATTATGTAAATGCAAATTGATCTGTCTGACTTACCTTCTCAAGATTTTTTTCTTCCTTAATAACAATATCCGCAACCATGTTCTCTATCTCTTTCTGGACAAGTACCTGAAATAATTTTATAAGTCATAAGTTTTAAAAAGATCTGTTGCATTGTTCAACAGCGCTCAAGCAAATCATTTAACCTTACAGAATTTTGTATACACTGAACATTGTACTTTAAATTTACTGTGAGTATACATGCTTTTCTGTTTGATAGAAAAAATCTAATTTATAAATAATATTGCACATCTTTGTTTAAAGAAGATCTACCTACGAAATGACATGCAAATACGCAATTATTTTATCGTTGTACGTCTACTCTAGGAATATTGTAGCACTGTTCCCAAGCTTGATGCTAATTTTTCACCGAAATTTGATAAATTTCACAATTTAAAGTTGTTTTAACTTACCCATTTGTCTTTATTTCTCTCCTCTGCTTTCCTTTTTCTTTCAGCAAGATCCAATTCCAAGTCGTCCAGGTATTGAAGCACGTAGCCAGAGTCTTTATAGAACTGTTTTGTTTTTATTTCCTCGTCGCTGCGTCTCCTTAGATCCATTCCTGCCGCACTGCTACCTTTGTCCTTGAAATAAAATTTTGGCTTGATGTAAACCTCGTTGTTCATTTGTTAAATGATATTAATATTATAGACTATAATATAGAGTGATTAGCAAAAACGAACAAATGAAATAAACGGAATAAAGATGAACTGTTTTTCATTGCACAATTTTCTTACGGGTTTCTCGTCGAAAAGACTTTTGATGCAGTAAAGCTAAATTCCACCTTGTGTCATGTATCATACTTGAATGCATGCCATATGTCGTAGTTACAAGTTGTATTATAATATATATTTTGTAACAGAAATAATTAAGCTTAAATATTTCACATACCAGGGCAGATAGCAGCTCCGTGATGTATCCTATAACAATTCTGTCTACCACCTGCGCGTACGGCCTTTCTTGATTCGGTAGCGGAAACTGTAATACAATGTTTTGGAATATTTCAAAAGTGATTTCAGCTCACGGATCTAAATCTGCGGGGCTTTTATAAAATTGAATAAATCTAAATAAAGTAAATCTTACTTTATTTAGCATGTCAAAATAAGTTGGATCTTGACGACTGCTGCGCAAGCCAAACTGTTTTGTTCGTATTATTGTGTCTACTACGAGGTTTATTTGAATCATCTATGGGACCACTCAAGGAATATTAATAGCCCACAGAAATATAGCGTGTTTCGGAGAACTCCAAAGAATCAAATGGAGATCATTATACGAGAATGGAAAGAAATTATATACCTGACTCTTTGGCGCCCTGGTTGTTGATTCTGCAGCCATTCGCTTGCCCCACTGAACCAGGAAAGAATACATGTTAGAGTATTAGTTAAAACCTATGCTAAATATTTGGATACATGTCACTCAGCATTCATCTTGCGTATTATTGTACCAATAATACATACATACAAAGATATAGTTTTGATAGCAAAGCACTTTATTAACATTCTAGTTTATTATTTCCAAATAGAAGAATAGGTTATTAGGCCGGCCATCAGATAGCAAGCAATACTGTTGGGTTTATTCTTTTAAAAATTCTTACATTATTCTTCTGTCCAACCACCGCCGCTCCTCTTGCATTTTGGAATTCTAAGTTCATCTTGACTTTTAGTAAATTGAGATATTTCTTTTCTACATTAGTTGAACCTTTGTCTAGATATTCTTCCTGAGCTTCTTTTCGAATATTTTCAGCATGTAACTTCATTTCATCTGGGGTTTGGTATTTAGCCGCTTTCTAAAAGTATGAAATTGCTAAAGAGAATGTAGGACTCCGCTATTGCTAAGCTGAACTTCTCGTTTGGACCGCAAAACTCATGACTTTTTGGTTTTACATTTACATCTTTCTTTTGGGGTGACCAGCGCTCAGTTGGAAGTTTTACGAGTTCAGTCATCGGAACGTAGTATGTGTTACCAGATTAGGGTTAGGCCACAATTCCAGGTACAAATACTACGGGAGTCACTTGGCTATTCCCCGAACTCGTAATAGAACTAAATTATGAAAAAAATTGGAATAAAATTATAGCCTAACTTGGTACACATACTACGTTCCGGTGTCCGCCATCTTGGTGCACATACTGCCCATACTACGGGAGCGCTGAAGCTTCCATGATGGAATAGTAGAGGGGCATCTATTTAGCAATATAGAATGTGAAATTGTTTACCTCTAGCCATTTCTTTTCGCTTTTATTAATCAAAGCAACTTTCAGTTTGTACAAGTCCCGCCTTCTTGTCTCCTGTTATCAAATAAAGGTAATGTAGCCTACTATTATTTGCTTTTGAACATAAAGATGTGTTAAATGGGATCAGTTTGGCTAGGAATGGGCTCTGCGAAATATACTCTACTATTTCATACTATACATAAGATGGCAGCCTTGAGTTGGACAAAAGTTCTACTTACTCGATCAGCAATTTTAGACCTTTAGTATGCGGTACCAACGCAGACTACCCATTGTGTCCCTCACAGAAATTACATTTCACGATAATCTCTCCGTAAAAGGGGGCTCTGACAAATTCATAGCCGAGAGAGCAAATTTTTATTTTGTTGGGTAATTTTATTGAAAATTAAATAGCTAGATGGTTTGGATAAAAACTGTAAATTCGATTGAATCGCGAAAATTTTATAGCAGTTTACGAAGGAAAAAAACAAAATACCTTTATCATGCTTTCGGCTCGGGTTCTTTCTTGGTTGTGAGCCAATATATCATCGAAGTATTTGCTTGCTTCCATACTTATGTTTTCCATGTTTGCTTTAGCTCCATACTTTTGTTGAATTTGAACAAGGTATTGGCAGTGAAAGTGATACAATGCATTCGGATCACCCATACCCCATAAAATCACCGCCTGATTGGAAAAATATTGTTAGGAACAAAACAATCAACTTGTAAAAACAATTTTTAACAATTTTTTAACTCTCGGTTTTATCGATGATTCAGACTCAAGTTAAGTCTCATTTTATGCAAAAGATTTCAATAGGAGATAAAGTGTAAGTTATGCCATAAAGTGTTATGGGATCGCGAACTTTGATCAGAAACACAAAATCCTTACAAACTGCGATAATTACACGTTCATTAGACTTATCTATCTTGCTTCGCATAGCAAATTTATAAACTATTTTCGATCAAAATTAAAATTTGTGGAAAAAAGATTTACTTGTTGAATAAGATCTTGATATTCTGCAACTGCTTTTGCCTCAAGCTGAGCCTTTTCCAATTCTATTTTTCTCTGAAATATAGATAAATTAATGCCAAATCTTGCAGATGGTATGATTGAAATATGTTGTGTACATCGCACGTCAACCTGCAATAAGCTCCTAATAAGGCGCCGATAGCACGATCTCTAGTGCTAGTGTACTATCACTAATGTTTGGAGTAGAGGAGCATTGCTGAAGTTTGCGCACGCGGTTTGAATGTATTATAGCAGAACTTAAAAAATAGCAAAAAGGTAAGCATAGATTACTAAGAATACATTCTAAACACTTCCTAACAAAAGTAAAACTCATTTTGCAAGAGCACCCAGTTCTATACCTAAAGTAGAGTATCTAAGATTTTACTAATCACCTTCATGAACTCATTTTTGGTTTTGATCGTTTCAAAGTGATCATCACACATTGTTTCCAGATGTTTTTCAAAGTTTTGTTTACATTTCCCGTCACCCATTTCTTTTGCACTGGCGTATCTTTTCTTCGCGAGTCTTTTTGCGTTATTATGTCTTCCTTCAAGATCTTCCTTCTCAACGTAACATTTCTCCTTAAGAGCATTCTGCGCGAAAAGCAATTACCTGCGTTATAGAGATAGTGAACGAAAATCTGGTTTGCATATAAACTTATTGATACTTAGACATGTATTCTAATCTTGTTTAGAAATGCACAATAAATGGACGAGCTCGAATATTCAGAGCTATGTGCAATAAAATTGGCGCTCCCGTAATATGTAAACCAAGATGGCGGACACCGGAACGTAGTATGTGTACCAGGTTAGGGTTAGGCCATAATTTTATATCAATTTTTTCATTTATGTTCCATTACGAGTTCGGGGACTAGCCAAGAGCTCCTTTAGTATTTGTACCTGAAATTATGGCCAAATCCCAACCTGGGTACATACTACATTTCGGTATCCGCCATCTTGGTTCACATACTATCGGAGGTTGACCACCCAGGTTGATAGAAAAAGACGAGCGGTGATTATAATTCAGTTACATTTTTTTCATGTTTAGAACCCATCGCCGAGTTTGCCAGCCTCCCGCAACAATTTTATATTTGTTATTTTTGCATATAATTTTCTCTGAGTTTTCCGTGTCTGAAGGTGACGCGTCTTTTATTATCTTAAAATGCACCATCTACCAGACAACGTCCCACTTGTCAAATATTTATCTATCCATTTCTTTAAGGAGCTGGCTCAGTTAGATAAGCCGTACTGTTTCTTTATATTGACGTGTTAAAGATTTACAAGTTCAATTCTTTATTTATGTTAAAATCTTATTTGTATTCATTTTATAAATACTGTTTTTGCCCCACCCCACTGCGCGAGGGAGGCGAATGTACAATTGATAAAAGTACAGAAAAACGAAAAAACGATCGCTCAAAAAGGCGTCTACCGACAATAACGAACTTACTAATCCCAGCGATCTCTGCGATAATATTGGCATCGTAGAAGAGAGAGAGTACGAGAGCGTCTACGCAATTTGGACAACGGTCCGAATATGTCGGTGGGTTGTATTGCGTAATTGTGACGTCGTAGTGTCGTAATTTTTAGATGACGTAGTCACATTGGGGTTAGGAATGACACATGCAAAAATTGTTGAGCCACGCCCACTAGAAGTACTTGTGGTTACAGAGGGGGAATAACTTGAAAACGTTTTCAATAATTTATGAATAGGAAAATCGCCGACCTTCATTGTTTCATCATAGTATAGTAGTGCCTTCTCGTACTCAGTTGAATAGTAAGCTCTGATGTTTGCCTGCAAAGAAAACAAACTTTTGTCGAACATTGAAATAACCCCATGCGTGCACGCACGGACTTTTTAGTAAGTTTTTTTTTTGAAGATGTTCATAACAAAACATATTAGATTGTGCAGTGATGTTTTGTATTGGAATTCCGAGTTTGTAACGGAAAAACAAGTCTTGTGTAACTTAGAAAATTACTTTAATTGATTCTATTGCGTCATTTTATGGGCGGGTTACCGAAACTGCCAGTTCATTTTGAGCGCTGTACGTTTTATAGACATTTTTGCGTAAATGATATACTGTAGCTAATAAAAACGTTTACTAAAATCTATCAATAATTTCAATAAACGCCATGCTTCCAGGTGCAATCTAGTGAACAAGTTTAGCAAAATTCGGGATAACCTACGTTTGCTGCAACATTCTCAAGTAGATATTATTTTTACATTTAGTTATATTTTTCTTGAAAAAGTTGTATGAAATGGAAGATATCCGAAAATAGGGAAAAGTGATTACGCCGTTGGCCTGAAATATACCTAAAGTAACAAAAATATACCTCCTTCAAGTTACTTGCTTCGTATTCCCCACCAGAGAATGCCCCGTCGCATGCAACGATCATATTTAAGATGTCACGCGCTGACATTTTATTATTTCCTTTTGCCATTTTAGGCTGCAAATGTTGTGGACTGACAATGCTTTCAACGTACTTCTTGACCCATTTTCTGAATACGTCCTCGAGTTCTAGAAAAATATAAAGAAATCCAAGATGCACTCGAAAGTCGAAATGATAAAGCCACGCGGATAAAAGCGAACGGTAAATTTGTTCATCACTATTGTTGATATCTTTAGGATGGAAATTTCCAATTGAAAACAAACTTTCATTTATCTCCTGCTCCATTATAATGGGTGATTTAGCAAAACTTTCGATTTACATTGCTCAAATATATGGGCACTAAGTACAAATGTCATATGAAGAAATTAACCGAATGAAATTCATCATCATTTATATAAACAAGAGAGCTATGCTCAAATATATGGACACGTTTACCGATTCCAGGAAAAGTACCAACATTTAAAGACATCAGTTATAACAGTGAATGCAAGCCCCGCATTTACGAGACAGTTACGAGTTAATTCAGTGTTAATCCAGTGTTTACGGTACCGGAACTGACCTATCTTCAGAAGTTCCTGTCTTGTGACAGCCTGAATTGAAATTGCAAGATGGTCCGATTCACAATTGTAGTAACACCAACGATCCGAGTCACTACTGTAATATAACATCAAGTATGGCACTATTCGCCATTCACCTTGCCTCAAATCTTAGCAAAGCCAGGATTTCGTTACGAACCATCGACGTTCGATGGCACGTGATCAAAAAACATGAAGAGGAGTGCCATCATACACGTCACAAGGTGTCGCTATTTTTATTCTGACACATAAAAAACGAATCTCTTAAAGTCCACAGAAATTTTTTAAATAAGTAATAGCTTTTCGGCGAAAAAATCAATCTTTAACCACTGAAAATTTCAAAGCAATTGGTCCAGTATTCGAAGAGAAAAGCGATGTTATCATGAAAATATGAACAAGAACAACAACATAATATTGAAACGATCGTTATGTACACTCGCATGTCCAAAAAACGAATTTGGGGTCTAACCTTGATCAGTACTCAAGGTAATTTCAAAAATCCTTCATTGCTGAGGACTGAAAATTTGAAAACAATTGGTTGCCCAGCAAGCAGCAATGCGATTTCTTTCAACCAGAACTCCAACAAGGCCAACAACAACAATTTAGAAACTAATCATAAGCACGTTTCGTGCCCAGTAATTACAACCCATTAAGTATAAGTTAGATCAGTAGCTTTCAACTGCAATTGAATAATTACTTACCATCATTTCTGCCTGAAAATCTTATAGTAGTTGCCAGTTTTCCTGGGTGAGGAAGACAAAAGCAATTAACTTTTGTGAAGCTATTTTTTATTTCTTGTCTGATTCTGACTTGTTCTTTGCCGCCCTCTTCAGACTCCAGTATTTCGTTTATGTCGTTCTGGCCACTCTCCATACCGAATGCCCGTTGGTCTTCATATTCATCCAAAGTATCTCTTACCAGAAAATTCAAGACTTGAAGCTGAAACGCAAAGTAGAATACTTTTTGCAGTGTTTAGTAGGCCGTTTAGCTTAATTTGTCTCAGTAGAGCAAGACGGATGCTTATAAAAGCAAGCCATTGATAGGGGGGCAAATCGAACAAACTAAGTCTCTGCAGCAAAACTACTGGTAATTTTGCAATAAAATAAGTTGAACTCTAAAATTTTTGACACGTAATCGTTTTCTTGCGTGTTCGGTCCAACAACATGCCTATCATAGCACAGGGCGTCCAAAAAATTTCTTTCGATTTTATCGTAATAACAATTGTAAATGAGTATTACAGACACAATAATAATTATTGATAAACAAAAGAAAAAAGTTATTAATTTTTATTCGTATATCAATGTATATACGATGGTATACAATAAGAGTGTTTTTGACGCAGCCTTCAAGGTGTTTTCATTTAATTCCCCCCCTGTTTGAAAATATGCCTAACATTGTTATAGCATACCTTGAAAAATGGTTCCTCAAGTATAGCTGTGGCCATTGCAAATTCAACGCACGTCTGAAACATAATTTTTTTTAATTAGACTATTGGTGAATTCATTCATAAAATCATCATGATTATGGATTTATGTATAAATATAAATATTTTGCAACTGGTCTCATCCACCGAAAACACCGCCTTTCTGCAGACTGCAGAGTGACTGGCGTATTCATTATTTACCAATATCAAATACTCTTGAATATGTAAGTCTCCGCACAAAGTTAGTATAAAGATAAATATAGTACTATGTTATATATATATATGACTTTAACGATTAGAAATACGAGGGCAGGTAATTTCAAAATTTAAACTCAATACAATATTTTGACAGCGCGAATCTCTCATTCGACATAGGCCAAAGTATGCACCACTCACGCCTAAATTTCTCAGGGTAACCGTATCCGTCTATTCGGTGACCGTACATTTGAACCCATGCGTATATCCACGGGTTCAATCTATATGCGGGTGCTAAAACCCATGGGTTAGGGTTAGTATGGGTTTAACTATCCGTGAAACAAAAAAAATTCCATAGGTGCAATAGCATACAGGTGCAATTGTCATGGGTTCAAATGTACGTGGGTTCAAATGTAACGGAACCGTCTATTCATATCCGTCTACAAGACTTAAGACAGACACTGAAAATTTGTAGTGGCCAATTACCTTCAAATAATCCAAGTGCTGGGTGTTAATGCGCTCTTTGACATTGAATATCTGAACAGAACTCGCCAATGTGCTCAAAGTCAGAAGCGCAGTATTTACCTCCTTTGAGGTCTTATGGTCAAACAGCCCTTGGGTATCCATTATCAATACGGCCATCTGCAAAGTATAATATTTAATTAAAATCTGCATAAAAGAGCAAAAATGCAAAAAAGGTGTTTTCATTGAATCATAGTCGCAATATTTTCGAACCGACACTCACAACGCTTGTGTGGGTTGCCTAACGACGAAGCGCAAGCCCCATCGCAAAATGGCTCAAACAATCCTACGCGTGTGTGCTGATGCGGACCACGATTACGTTCAGTCGGAAACACATGCGCATACATGACATGACATCTCTAAATTAGAGTCGTCCGCATTAAGCTACTTGACGAGAATGTAAATATTGACCGCGTATTAACTGTCTCAGTGTGACACTATCAGCGCCAGGCTTTTGTGCTAGGAGCGAGTACTCCAACAAAACTAGGACTCGAATCAAAGCCCATTATAAATGGTTGAGCAAACGAAAAAGAGGGAATAGCCATTTAAGACCCACCCCAAAAATAAAAGTGCAATAAAAAAATTATTTTAACAATAGAACCGAGAAAAAAATTCTATAAAAATGCTCACGGTTACAAAAAAACAGCAACCAGCAACACTTTTATTTTATCCGCGTGGATGGGTTTTTCAATGACTAATGTTTACTGAAGGGAAGAATGTCCTTACCTCACTGCCATTGTTTGGTTGCGGGACATAAAACACCTTATTCCATATGCTGATACCAACAGTCACTCGATTTTTGCCGCTGCTCCATCTCGGTCCATTCGTACTGGTGCTATCGTCGCCAATCCAATCTTTGTTCTTCCACTGGAAGTTAATATCAATATTGCAAAACTTATTGCCACCCAAAAACTTGTCATGTGATTGTTTTTGTAGCGTTTACAACTATCCATATATATATAATCGAAGTATTGGTTTATGACTAGATATATCAAATATTACGTGTTTGAATCGTTAATTTAGTTGTGATAAAGAAGATATTGGTGGTATAAATAAATTTTAAACACGTTCGGACAGATTTAAATATAAAAAACGTAGCCACGAAAATTTCCACCGTGAACCGCATCCAGGATATTTGCACCCACAGACTTTTGCTCACATGTACATTTGCACTCACACACATATACACCCATGTACAGTTACACATTTGGCGTGTAAATATCTATTGCACAAATGCACATGTGGACGCAATAACCTAAGGGTGCCAATGTCTGTGGATTCAAATGGTCTTAGGTGGAAATGTACACAGGCGCAAATTTTCATGAGTGCAAATGTACGGGGTGCAAACGTACTGGGTTCAAATGTCCGTGGTGCAATCTGTATATGGGTGCTAAATTTTGTGCATGTAAAGGCACGTCGGTGCAAATGTCCATGGGTGAAATGTCTGTACGTCATTGAAACTTTCAAAAAATCAGAATTTTAAAGACATCGCTCTTACTTACCCCTTCTGCTTTAAGGTATCTTATTATAAAGTTTAGAATAAATGATTTTCCAGTTCGCATACATCCGGCTATTGAGATAATTGCAACGGGTCTGTCTCCGATCTCAGGTCTGATCAACATCTGTCGAAGAGCATCGTGATCGATTCTCATTGTACCATCGGGCATTTTGCGAGTGATCAACACATTTTTGTTTTTTTTCTTGGGAAGAAAAGGGGGAAGCTGGCGGAGAGAAAGAGTTTTAGGTTTCCGTGTATATTCGTTTACTTAAAAACAGACGAATATCATAAATAAAAGCGTATGATATCAGAAATGTACATAGAATTTCAGTGGACTTGTTCATAAAATTGCACAATAACATTGACCTGTTACAGACCAGTTGTTTGATATTTGATAAAATATAAATCCAGGCACGCTGTCAAGCTTGGTATTTCGACTTCAAAATTTAAAAATAAAAGTTTGTTTTGTGGCATTTATTAACGAATCACAGTGATTAATCATTCTAGTACAGTGGTTCTCAAACGCTGGGGCGCGCCTATATAACGGGGGCGTAGACAATTTGTTGAAAGGGCTAGAAGCTGATTGAAAATAAAATTATTTGTTGATTTGATCTTGCTCGCTTTATTTTCGATATTTACATTTCTTCATTGTTCAGAGATTGCAGAAAGCTGTCGTGCTTGTTGTTATATTTGATATCTATTATATTACTTCCGCTGTACTATATGTTATTTGTAGCTTATTGTTAGCTATTTATTTTTGAGGTGAGGCACGAGACTTGACAAATTCTAAAAAGAGGGCGCGGCTCAAAAAGTTTGAAAACCACTGTTCCAGTACGATTGCATTACGTTACATAGCTAAATTTTAAATAGTTGCCATTGATGTGCCAGTAAAACTTTTTTTTTTATCTATATCCCAAACCGATACGCCAATATATGTAATAAAATTAATATAATTTTACAAATGCTTTATTAAAGTTTGGCGCATTTTGCAAAGTGTTGGGAAAATATCTATCTATTCGCCATGCATGGGCGATAAAATATGAAATTTTGAATATGGGTGTATTGCTGTTGATATGTTTACATTGGGTGGCTAGTTAACATCAGGAATATCTGATATCTATAACGATGCTGCTCATTGTTGATTTGTCGGATTGTTTTCCGTGTTATTTCGTTGTTTGATCCCACATTCCTCTCGGTTATTTAAACAATTACCACCGCAGTTACGTAAGTTTGTTTTAGGTTAATATTTTCAGATCGAGGTTCAGGGGGGCGTATTCGGCTTCCAAGATTTTCCAAGCTAAACTGCAATATATGGGAAATTTTAATCAGTTGCTAGAATTGGAAATGTAACCTAATGGAATTAACAAAGTAAATCCATTTCAAGTAGTTGTCAATCCTCAAGCCCTTCCTTAGACACTCCCCAAAAAACTTGAATTTCGAAATGATTTTTGAAAATCAGACTGTGAAAATTGTCATTATGGAACGATTATAGTAATTACACGGAGTTATGTGATATTACGCAAGCAACTTTTTAAAAATACGTTCTATGTCTTCATCTTCAAAAACAAAATTCAGTTTGCTAAACCAATAGGTCTCAAGCCGTGTACCACAGTTGCGATTTTCAATGTAATAAATTAGAACATTTCTGCGAACCACCCCATCTTCGTATTTTCAAATCAGTGATTCGCACATTTCCTTAGGACTGGTTCGAGACTTTTGGGCGACGTGGAATTATATATATATATAGAAAATATATATATTTCATTCAAAAACATGCTTTCAGAGTTCATGTTCAACTTATATATATATTATAGATTTTTCCTGTTCAACAAATTTTTCATTTATTATACATGAAAGTTGTTGGGTGAAATGTTGTAAATAATTAGTTTACATACATGATATAATGAAAACATCGAGGCGTAGTAAAATAAACTTAATCAAATCTCCAAGTAATATCAATACCTAAATTTGAACTGTGAATGAGGAGGCGCTTCACTATGTAAAGTACGATAATATTGGACACAAGAAGGGCCTTTGGATCGTTGTGTTATTATCATGTCGTTCTTATTCTTATGCTTGATGGTATTTTTCTGTGTTGTTGTTGTGAAAAATTTACATTTCTCTCGAATAAGTGGACCAATTGCTTTGAAATTTTCTGTGGTTTGATATTGTATTATTTGCTAGAAGACTCTTACTATTATTTAGTTCAAAAAAAATCTGTGAGCTCTACGAGATTCGTTTTTTGTGTGCGATGGCGTCATTACAGTTATTAATGCGCACCTTGTGGCAGTTTCGCGTCGACTGTCTGGTGGTCAGGCAAAATCGTGAGGACCGTACCGGTAGTCTACTGTAAAAGATTGCATACCCGTACCCGTCATTTGGGTACTTCCTAATTATGTAAACCAAGATGGCAGACACCGAAACGTAGTATGTGTACCGGGTTAGGGTTAAGCCATAATTCTATTCCAATTTTCCTTTCTTTTCCTTTTTAGTTCTATTACGAGTTCGGTGACTAGCCAATTGACTCCCGTAGTATTTGCACCTGAAATTATGGCCTAACCCTAACCTGGTACACATACTACATTTCGGTGTACACCATCTTGGTTCACATACTTTTTCGTGTCTCTATATTTGAGCATCGCTCATCTTGAATAATGCCAACATGATACGGGCTCAATGTTCTAGCCAAGTGTTCTTCAGCCTTATTTATCGTGGTATACCCTTTACAAATTTTCAAGAACTTTGTATACCTTCCAAATACTAATGTTTATAAGGCTTAAATAAACATTAAAATTGTAAGCACATATTGTATTACAACATCGTCATGCAATCTAATAGGCTAATGTCTGCAAGTTATAAATTTGACTGACGGCCTTAGCGTCAACGGGAATAATGTTCAACGTAAATCAAACGAAGTGTATGACAGCCGATATCACCAACCCAGACACGTGACCGCACTAACTATATAATTTGTGATGTAATAATCTGTTCACGACGGTTCTTTACGTGAATGACATTTTATATTTCATGTGCGCCATGTTTGCATTGTTGTTTCGCTTGAGTATTTTAAACTTTATTGTATTAGAGTTTAGAATCCCTGACTAAGGCTGTACACCCTTCATATACTCTTTATCAGTTGTGTACCCAACTCATGGTACGGTATACACTTGGGTATACGTTATATCCGGTTGAAAAGCACTGTTCTAGCCACTACATTATAACATATTAAATAATCACTTTGCTGTGTATACTAGACTGGAGATATATACTATTTTTAAAGACAATAATGAAACTGGGACTCCAAAAATGACAAAAAAAAAATTCTGTGGTGGATGACGACTAGCAAACTGTCAACTGCAAAAAAACTTGATAACCAAAAAAAGATTTTATACTTTTTTATACTATCGTTACATTGAATTATTTTGTTTGTGAGTGTTGAGTACATCGAAAGTCACGTGAATCAAACTTTATGCGAATAACAAAGAAATTGATGAACGATTTTTTTTGTATGCATTCGTCGCCAGGAATTTGATTACATCTTGGCTTTTAAAATTCGATTTTAAAAAATGTATCAAAGACATGAGCATTAATTACTTGATTTAAACTCTTTAGCGTATTTAGGTCACAAGACATTGTATGGAAAAATAAAGCCTGATTGACGGGGTTATGCGTTGGTAAAACAAACATCGAAAATGCAGTGTCAGTAGTTTCTACTGATGAGGCGTTGGTAGCATATTGACGCTCGAAAAACAGTCGTTCTATTCAGCGTATGATCTTATGTAAAAAGAAACGAGCAGGCTAAATTTTTAGAAAATCTTTTAGGATGTTTTCAATGTTTGTATCAAGATTAATAAGTAACCATTTTCGAAGTTATGGTCGTTTAAACCGGAAAGTTTAAACCTACAATGTAAACTTTTCCTTTAAAGCACTAAAGCTTGGGTTTTGGGTGGTGTAATTCAACAATTAACCTGGCACACATTTGTAGTTTAAGGTGCAAAATAGACAAAACTTGTAGTTGTCTGAAATTGAAAATTATTTGTATTTATTAAAATGCACAGAGTAACACTAACAAACCACAATTGAAGAGATCATCCCCTAAACTAGAACAGCTTATGGCCAATGTTTTTATGGATAGTACAGGATGTCCCAAAATAAATGAAACCCACAAAATTGGTAATCGAATTAATGGGTTTCATTTATTGTGGGACACTCTGTATTTGGACGAGGTCATACGATGTCGATATTCATAATATCATGTTCGGGCAATAGGAGCTCATTCATACAAAATTAGTGGATTTTCAACTAATGCCCTTGTCTTGTTGAAGTTATTTCCTATATTCAAAAAAGTGAAAAGAGATACATGTGTAGTAGTTTCGTAAATTTGAAGAACTGTGGCAAATTACAGCGCCAAGGCCTTGCTTGATCCGACTGTGTATATGGGTGGGCGTCGGTCACTTGCATGTTTTTCTTTTTTTGTCGTGTTATGGTGCCTTTGCTCTAATGAATTACATACGATCAGTCTATCACAAAACAAGTGATAGATTTGATATAGATAGGTGTAGTTTGTGACATATATTGTGATGTAATTAAACAGCCGAATAAAGTTTGTTTATTTTCCTAAATTTTAAATGCTATTTACATATTAATTTTTTGCATTTCACTCTGATTGCAATTTACTGAATTTATTACGAAAAATCATAAACTTTTATATACAACTATCCAAAACATTTTTGAACAAAATAGGAATATTTGATAAAAAAAGTATAATACTTACACTAAAATGACCTAATCTTAATATATAGACCTAAAATTTAGAATAATACATTTAGGCCACCAGCTTATAATATCAGACTGAAATGATTTTACAGTACCATGTCTAATTAACGAGATCACATGATTATCTGTTGATTTGGATCTTTGAGAATATTTGAATAATTTCAGAAATGAAAACAGCTGTTCAAATCTATTTCTGTTCCCAAACATCCATAATTGGGTCAAAATAAGAACAAAAAAAATTGTAATTTTTCAAGTCTATTTTCTGTAAATTGTCGTTTTCTCTGTGAATAATCGATTTCCCTCTTGAACGGTTTGAAAAATGTATTACATTTAGATAAAAAGAAAACCTCACAAAATATTACAATTATTGTTAAGCGTTCGAGGGCCGCATTGAAAGCTCCATGGAGCCACACGCAGCCCGGAGGCGGCGAGTTTGACCCCCCTGAATTGGGAAGATGTGCCACTGGGAATGCAATTGCTACTTCACAATCGTTCAATCAGAATTCAAGCAGACAGGAATTTGCTAGTCTACCTGGAGGTAATCTACCAAAGTAGCTGTATCTTCAAATCGCGCTACCCAAACAAACGCTTAGTAATAAGATTGTTTTGAGCAACTAGTTAGAAGCTTCATACAATTTAACGAGAGCGACAATCAGATCATATATTTATATTTTACATTTAAATAAAATATAATGTAATATCGAGTGATTATAAAAGTAACTTAGATGTACATAAATACAGAAAAGCACTTACTAGTGATTTGAAGCCTTCCATGCTGCCAGGAAATATCCTTTAGTAATATGTACTAGCTAACATAGTATAGAATAGGCGTCTGTAAAAAGCACGACGTTGTCCGTTGTGTTGCGGCTAGACCATTTTTTTCTTTTCTATTGTGTGAGCAATGTATTCATTGCGCCGCGTAGCGGAAACGAATTATGTTATTGAAGTCTTCCGACAAACTGATGCAAAACTCCATGATTTGTTTCTCATTATATGCAAAACCAATTCAATTATATTTTTAAATGATTGAATGGCACCAAGAAAATTACAGAACAAAAATTTATTCTACAATGTAATTATGAAAACGATTGTGGCGATTTATATTCAGCCAGCCGCGAGGGCCTACGCCAAGGCTGTCCGCCATTTTGATTTCGCCAACTCTATGGAGGTTTTCTGATAAGGGTGCGGTAAATAACTAGGAATTTATATTTTATTGACACACTCGCTTCTCCGGTCTCACGATCAAAGTCGGCATTGTTATGCAAGCAATTGTTCAATGTGTCGCCTGGTATGCTGAGGGTTAATATGCAAAAATAGCTTTTCTGGGTCGGTTAGTTGCACACAGTTTGAGGAAGCAACAAGGCTATGCTCGATCGGATATTTTGTACAGAGCCCCACCACTGAATTGGCAAAAACACCCCTCCACGTTTTGAAATTACAAATTAGGGCGCTCCAGAAGCATGTGTGCACCAAGATGGCGCACAACCTGAACCCTGACCTGGTGCACATACTATGTTCAGGATGTTGGTGTTCAGGATGCCATGTTGGTGAACATACTTCTGGAGCTCCCAAGTTAGTAATTTTCCCGTTGGGTTTAGAGTTGAAATAGTTTGAATTTCAAGTGCAATCTGCATTCTTAACCCAAAACGTAACTGGATAATTGCGTTGGCGCAGGCTTTGTACACGGGCGTAGCAAGGGGGTGGTTTTGGGGGTCGGACCCCCCCCCACCCCCATTTCAAATGTAAAAAAATAAAAGCAACAATTTTTCGTAGCTTGAAACGCTTTTTAGACACTCAAGACTCGACCGGACCCGATAGCTGTTTCGATCTAACTTGGCAGAACCGTATTGTTATTCAATTCAAGAGTCTTGCTGCACACTAACACAAATGTATTTCTGTAACGTTCCGTCTGACCGGGGTCTAACTTCTTCAGACAAGCATTTTTAATCTATGATAAGAAACGCGATAGCAAACGCGACTTCTTTATAGAATTTTCTAAGCGTTCAATAAAAATTGCGGCTTTAGCTAACTCCTATTGCCTGCAACAATTTCCACCTGTTTTAAAGAATATTATTAATAAGCACTTTAAGTTATAAAGAGTGGGACTTGGGTTAAGAATTACGCGTCACAAAGTCAATCAAATTTAAAATCAAAGTGGCAAGATTTTGATATATCTGGAATTTTTAAAGAAATTTATCAATGTACACAAAAAAATATCGAATGAAACAACAATATTTACCAATATATGATCACAGCCTGATTCAATATTGAGTAATCAAAATTGCCACTATTTTGATTTTATTATAACTCATTACATTCTACGCTTCCATCACGCGATGAGCATTATTTAAAACGCCTTTGCATCCTCTCATGTGCATTTTTAACCTGATTCATTATTGAGTAATCAAAATTACCACTAGTTTAATTTTATTCTAACTCATAACACCCCGCGCTCCCGTCACGCGATGAGCATTATTAAGACCGCCTTTCATAATACAACAGTAATCACTGATATTTCTATCATCCATGCTTGATACATGTGTGGGTTATTACATTATTGGATTCAAATGATCTTTATACCATTTACGTCATTAGGCCATAAGGAAATGAGAAATATTGTCACGTTCGCATCCATTTCAATACATTATAAGTTAGCTTAGGCATTAACGAAATCCAACGCACTAACAGCCAAACCTGACATTGGCAAATTACGACCAGCGGGCTAAATCCGGCCCGCTGGGTAATTCAATCTGGCCCGCCTGATGCTGCCACAGCCAAATTAAAACCAAATTTTAATGTTTCCGCCAAGAAACAAGAGATTTGTTAAAATTGAAATTAAATTTAGTTGTAGCACGAGGCCTATTGTTTTTCACTTTTGCTTTTATAACACTGATAATATTATTCATGAAATGTAACTGTATACGTCACACATATCCCGCCAGTCTAGGTGGGCAAAAATTTTTGCATGCGGTTAAAATATCTAGCCCACCCTTGCCCTAAATCCAGGTCAAGGCACATGCAACTAAAGTATATGCGGTTACAGATGGCCCCGCGCGAAACTTAGATGTGAATTATTAAATTCAACCAGCATACATTATTGTAACCGTGCATAGGTCGGCGTGATTATCAGTAAGCCCTCAAGATCTGTAATCTGAAGTTACAGTCGCGATAAAAATACAATCATAATTAAAACAGAATTAAAATATGCTTTGATCTAGAATTTGAAATCTGCTACCTGATAACTAAATAATTGAATTTGAGTTTCAGCTAAGAAAAGTTTGAACGAAAACATAGCTTATACTCAAAATATAGAAAAGCACTTACTTTGATTTGGAGATTGCCACGCTGCCAGGGAATATCCTCTACTCACTAGTAATAACTAAGATAGCATAGACTAGGCTTCTCTAAAAAGCAGAACATTGTCGGTTATGTTGTAGCTGTATAGCTATTAGCTAATGTATTCATTGCGCCTCGTAGCGGAAACAAATTATATAAAGTCTTCCGACAGACGGATGCAAAACTGCATGATTGGTTTCTCCTTACATGCAAAACCAATTCAATTATATTTTTAAATGATTGAATGGCACCAAGAAAATTACAGAACAAAAATTTATTCTACAATATAATTGTGAAAACGATTGTGGCGATTTATATTCAGCCAGCCGCGAGGGCCTACGCCAAGGCTGTCCGCCATTTTGATTTCGCCAACTCGATGGGGCTTTTCTGATAAGGGTGCGGTAAATAACTGGGAATCTGGTGTGGTTTAGTATCACAAGTTGAGCATGGCGTAACGATTTTGTGCCTGTCACTCCTGTATTATTCAATAATTAAGTTCGATCGTGAATTGAATTAACTTTTTCTTATGATATGTTGTCGAGATTTTATATTTTTTCTACCATTTGTTTTAATTTTAATTATGTCTTCTGTGTAAGCATTATTGTAAACTTTTCTCTTGTTTTAATTAAAGTAAGAGAGTTTACTTAAGAAATTATTATATATTTTCGATACATCGAGTATGTGACATCAAATTGCTCGCAGGGCAAAAGGTAACTTGAGGAACCGAAGTTAATTTTTTAGACCCATTTGTGGGGGATATTTATAACTCGATGGATATACAGGGCAGTGGTATTCGACCGAGGTTTTGCGGCGCCCCAGGGTACTGTCAATACTTTTTAGGGGTTCCATTCAAATTCAAGAATATATATTAATATATGTATAATCAAATATTTATTAAACAGTGAAAAACCGTCTAAAAACACCAAGAACCCTGCTAAAACGCTTAAACGCCACATTTATTAAACTTGCTACACTCGAAAGATCATGTTGTTTTATCAGAATTAGGGTTGCTTTTGTGTATATTTATGGTTTTTACAATTCAGACAATAAAATAAAACTATTTCACAAGGTTTTCTCAAGCCAATGGAATGTTTCATGGGATTCTGCTGCACCAAAAAGGTTGGAAACCAACGGTATGTGGAATAAACCCGTGCTTGAAGAACATATAGACAAATGATGGTTTTATAGAGGAAAATGATCCTATCTGCGCATTTGCTCACGTGTTATTGGATTGACACACGTTTAATTGAGTATAACACCGGTCTGAACTCCTCAGAAGTCTAAAACACACAATGTATCAAATGCCAAAAGTTCGTATATTGTAAAGCTGCACAATCCTAAGATACAGATATATTGAAATATACACTTGAACCCTTAATACAGTTATACGGTCGAATATCAAGCAAAATTATAAAAAAACATACTATATTTTAACTCCCGGACGAAGCTGGAAACACACGTCATCAAAATTGGTCGATAAAAAAGAAGGCAGCTAGAATGGCCTATTTCGTAGAATTCAACATACTATTAATATAAAGGGGTTGAATAACATTATAATCCATAGTTACAATCCACATTTGCTACAGTTCCATGATATATTTCTTGGACTCGAATGACCAACATAACCATTCCTTTCCATAGCATACACCAGGGGTACCCACTCGGAGGCGAATTTGACGTGCTTTGGGAGTAAATTTAGTTGAAAGAAAGTACATGCCCAAGTGTGGCCTTTAATCACATAGCAGATTGTAACATTGAAGGGATTGTAGCTTCTTAATGTTGCGTAATACATGTTATTATACTTTCGTTGCAGTGTTACGATATAGCTTCTTTCTCATATTCTCCTTAGTGATAGGGCTAAGCATTTCGAATACCTGATGATTACAGAAGCAAATCGTTTTTTTTTGCGAATTGAATTTCGAATACTTGAAAGATATGTAATTGTATGTGACGTTTTTATTGTAATGGGACACATTAATTACTGAAAACACAGAATCCATCACTCAGACAGTTCGTTGAACGTGCACATCCAATAAGAAACATGTTTCATCAACAACTCACTAGGAGGAAAACCACCCAATGTCAGAATTGTACTGTTGAAATATGGCCTAAATAAAAAAAAAATAGTTCGAGTCTTTCTATTTTTGGCTACTCGTGTCAGAGTCCTGTGTCTGCCTGTACACGGCCTCGTTTGAAGCAAAATACGTAAATACCAGTCGAGACACTGGATTCACGTCACAGCGTCTAACTCTAGTCTCTCCCAAACAATTTAAATATTTTGGCTTTTCAGTATCCCCACGGACTGGATAGAGTTACTTAAAGTTGTGCAAGAAGAAAGAACAAAACAATGCAAATAGAGAAAAGAAATTTTATTCTAATTTGCTGAAAATAAAATACCCTGAAATATTTATGATTTATTGATTACTCGTACTGAATGCATGCAGGACAGACATTAAACAAAATGACAATTTTACATACATCTATATGAATGTGGGCCTTACAAGTTGAGCAAAGCAGAC